AGTGAAATGGCTTCAACATCTACAGCTTCCGACTTGAAGTTGCGGATGCTCAGATTTCTGACACCGAGAATATCCTTGAGAGAACCGAAGTTTGGCTCATGTAGGATCGCTTGAAGATCTCCATACGGTCTGAACTGTCCACCATTCAGTCTCAAGTGTCTCACCTTTCTTTCTGCCACGTTGTAGAAAAGAAGACTCGAGTCATGGCAAATTAACACCAGCTCACCATTCTCCATCAAACATATGGGCTTGAAACAGGTAGGGGCATCGCGAAATAGCTTGATCCAAAATAGTCGTTTCCACGACCCGTGCTCACCCCATTTCGGCATCACCCAAATCTCTAAATCCCTAGACTCAACTACCCGAGAGGCATAGATACACCCCCTCAACACTCCAACATCAACATTTTTGTTCAAATGAAAACATGAAGGTAGCTGGAATGAGCCAAAAGTTTCATGTTCAACGTCAAACTTTAGTATATATCTCGTTTTGTTCGACCTCCTACAGAGCCAATAAATTACACCATTCAAAAATATCGGACATCCATAACATATTTCCATTTCGGGAACAAATCCGATTGTTTTCCAAGATGTATCACCATCCTATATATTTCAGCAACAAGAGGCGCTTCTGTTGAAAGTTCCAATACAATCCTCAAAAGTTTGTACCGCTTACTCTCGAGACTGCAACCAAAACCAGACACAATTGGGAATCCACTTACGGGCACCTCCTCCAAAGGGTATGGTTTTGGAATCAATACGACCTCGTGAGTAACCGGGTTGCATATAGCATACTGACTTGATATTACGGACGGGCTGCATAGATACTGACTTGATATTTTCTTAGTTTCAGGTTTGTGCAAGCAAATAAACCCATAACACGAATTGACAATAGCATAACCATCTGAATTTTTTTCATCACTATCTTCAATTGACTGAGGAAGAGAAGCAGTATACTGTGTAGCTCTTGCTCTAGAACCCCAACTAGAAATTGCATCCAAATCAAGCTTGTGAAGAATCTGATAACCAACCTCATTTTCATTATTATAAGCAAGCCTATTTCCCTTAATATAAGCTCAAAGGAAAACTTGAGAATCAGCTCTGCATAATTATAGATTGAAATCAGTAGAGTTGGTCACAGAGGAGAAGTCCTTGCACACGGGTCTGAGGACACAAGCATCCTTGAAGGAGCGGAATCTTGAGAGAATGGTGGCTAGGATATATGTTGGAAGGTCTAGGATAAGATTTGATGTGTTGTCGGTTTCTGTTCTCATTTTTCCCTTCTTAGCTTTAGGAACTCCTTCCAAACCAGGTTCTTTGAAAGAATCAATCTGCCAGATACAAAGATTAAACTTACATTAGATGTGCAAGATCCAAGTACATTCCTATCTTCACTATTGGATTCAGTGGCGAATCTTTTAGCCTTCTAAATTCACTCACTGATAGTTCATTTTTTACAGTCTGAACGTAAGTATAAATGTGAATGGTGACATACCGTCTTTGATCCATCACCCGATGCATCAACTAATTTTGGTAATCCAATTGACGCATACGGATAATTCCTATCACCCATCTGAAACAATAAAAGCAATTCTCATCATAATCACATATAAAAGATATTCTCATTCAAGCAATTCTATCTTCACTATTGGATTCAGTGGCAAATCTTCTAACTTTTTTGAGTACGGAGAATATGTAAGGGTATCGATATAGCTCTGATACCATGTAAGGAAATATGTTGCTATATATTCAAAGAGAGAGTACATACTCATATATATATATATATATATACATTGAGCAGAGGGAGACTCTAGGTTATGACATATAAGAAATCTACTATAATCAACGAGAGACATGATACGATTGTATCCTTAACAGAATATACCAGGAGTAACGGCGATGCTGAAGTCTCGTTTCCTCGGAATAGCGAATCGTCGTCTGGTTAATCCGCCGATAGAGAGATAAAAGAGAGAGTGAGTGAGTAAAGGTAAAAGTGAGATTGTCTGGTTAATCCGACAATCGGCCCAAATTGTCGGGCTTATATTGGGCTTTTTGAAGTTTGGATATTTAAATTAGAGCTTACGCAGAGTACGCTATTCTCAGCGTCTATTTAATCTATGCTGGAACGCTGCGAAAGCATAACTGTAGTTTACTAAACTCGCTCATCTTAGCCTCTATATTAACTCTGCTAGAACGCTGCGGAAACGTTGGGTTTATTAAGGGTAGTTTTGGTATTTAGAAAATATTGTACCATTTCTACAATTTTCCTTTATCGGGGTACCAGTATTTTAATTAAGAGTGGAAAAAGGTCCATTTCAGATAATTTTTACTTTTTTATAAGGTTTTTAAAAAAGGGTATTTTTGAAAAGTGGCATTGAAAAAGTGGCATTTTTGCAAAAGCCCCCTATTTTAAACCTATATTTTGTTATTCAAATTAGTGAGAATTTTTGGTAGTGATCAATTACTTTGGATTTTTAAATTTTAAAACCTATTTTGTTATTATTTAGATTATCTGTTACGATGTTTTTGCTTCTTATGTTCGGGATAATTGTTTTTAGTTGGGATATGTTCGTCGCAGTATCTTCTATCCTTGGCTCTACTCCGTTTGTGGTTGTAGATCCTCTTGGCCACGACCTTTGAGCTCTTAATAATGCGATTATTGTTTTTCTCTGACTTTCCTGGTGATTTCGAGAGGTTCACTTCTTGACTTCAGTATATTTTCTTGTGTTTTCCGTGTATTAAGTTTTAGCTTCCGGGGATTTATTTGTTTTCCGGCAGTTTTATATTTCGAAAATACATCCCAAAAATGTGTTCTACCTCTGTATTTTTCCTTTATATTATATAATGAAAATCTTTCAGTAAAAAAAAAAAGATTATCTGTTCCGATCTTTACCCTGTTTTTTTGGTTATGATATGAAGCTGCTTAGCAATGAAAGTAACTTCACTATGTCTACTATTCTTGTAGGGCACTATCAATTCTTGTACTCATCTTATGTTAAGTTTCATATTTTTGTCGTCTTACGTTTCCGGAGTTCGCGAGGCTCTCTCATCGCCACTATAGTGTTTTGAATAACTAAAGTTTTTCTTTTTCAAGATCTGGAACTGAGGATCTAGGAATTTATGGGACATTTATTCAAACGTGATGATTTATTGAATTGCTTTTAGTTTTTATTTTATACTCTCTCCGTTTCAAAATATAATGCGTTTTAGCTAAAAATACGCCGATTAAGAAGATCTACTTTTAAAAGTTCAGTCAATCATAAAAGAGACTGTATAATAAAAATAATTATAAAATATTAAAGTAATATATAATTTGCATAGAAACTTGAAAACGTCTTATATTGTGAAACAAAAAATTTCTCTAAAACGTCTTATATTTTGAAACATAGGGAATATATAATAAACTATTATGTATATAGTGTGCTGATCACTTACAGTCACAACAAAGATTATTTGTATTGACTATACGAGATTACAAGTTCGAGCACATGCTTATGTCTACTTAACGGATCTTAGTACACGTGAAAGTTTACGATCTTATATTTGTCCTTTGATTCAACATTTACTTTTATATCATTAGAGGTATGGTTTCAAATTTAGTTTTAGCTACTAAACAGCCTAAAATGTGTGTGGGCAATATGGCATAAGGCCCCAAAGGTCGATAAAAATATCTCTCAACATAATTGTTTTAAAATAAAGATTCTTGGAATAAGAAGATATCATCATATCATACACTGAATAATTAAATATATTATTTCATAGTCAGATTTATTTAGAGTAATGTACTTTGTGTATAGAGTAATAAGAGCAACCACAGTCCTAAAAAAGTTTCTTAAGATTATAATGTTAAAAAGAAATATAAAAAGATGAGAGAGAACTAGAGATGTTTCTTATTTAAGGTACGTTGCTAGGCATTTTAGAAACTCTTCTTCCATTTGTCAACTTTTTAGTGGTCTATTTTATTTTAATATTAAAAATTTAATATTTAATTTATAAGAAACTCAAAAACTTATTTCAACCGTTGTGGTCGCTCTAAGAGACGTGTATATGCATCAAACCAATGATCATCATGATCAATCTTGCAACACTGAAATTATTAGTTTTTCTTTGGTACTAAAGAATACAAAAGTACTACAAATCTAGTTGACTATTCATTATTAAAATCACAAATATATACGAATGTAGTATACCTAGCCTAATAAATAATATTTCATTTAACCCAAAATTTTTAAAATAATAGACAAGAAATACAAGAACTCTTTTTCCAAATTAAAAAAAAAATAGAAATACAAGAACAAGAAAAATAAATGCAGTTTGTATTTATTTATAAATATTTATGTTCATTTAAATTATAATTTACAAAAATAAAATGATTTTTCTTCGGTCTACAAATCTTGTTTAGACAATCCGTACACCACCGGAAAGGAATCATAAAGATCTACTAAAACCCAAACTAGATAGAAAGAAAATAAATAAATTGATTTTAAAATTTTTTTTTGGTTCTATATGCTAATCGATTTTTTCTTTTACATCTTTATAAATTGTCAATCAACTAAATTGGATCGAACACTTTTAAGCCAGAAATAGAGTATGTTAGATCTGTTTTTTTTGGGAGGTCAAACTTTAAAATTTCAAATAAGAATATAAAAATATTTGCTTTTTTTAGAGATCTTTTCTTTTTGCATTATGTATAAAGGAAAGGTGTTAAAATCACATCTATTTATGATCTGGATAGTCAAATTTATTTACTATTCCATTTTTTGGTCAATGATATATGGTACCTCTTGATTTCTTTCTATTAAATGGAAAAAGTTAATTATTAGATTGATGTTACAAATAAAAAAAATAAAATTTTTTGATTTAGTCGTTGTACTATATATAATGTAAAATAAATAAATGTAGTATTAATATTAGGAGTTGATGTATATTGACACTTGGGTCCTTAGTTTGTATATATTTTCCATAAATTATTGATAAGATAGGACTAAAAACAGTATATGCTTAGGTACAAAGCCAGTGAGGTAATTCCAATTTTTATTTAAAGGAAACAGAAAAAAACTCTGGAAAACTGATAACAGTTTCCAGCTTCCCGAACGTGATTTTTGCCTGTAATCACGTACATCCATAAAGCATGTATATCAAACAGTAGAATAAGTCAAATATATTTCGAGCCCTGTGACACTTTTCCTTTCGTTGGCTGTTGGCATCTAAATATAACCCCTTCTTTCTTTTTTTTTACTGATTACAAAAAAACTTTTTACTATTGCATGTAGATACACCTCAACCCTTACGTGCCCATCTGCAACAACAAATATCATGATATTTATTATTTACCGATCCTTATGATATTTTGTTGCGGTAAATTAATTTATTTTTTATTCATGATACTATAAATAAGAAGAGAAGCATCACTTTTATTCTCCTCCATTAACAAAAGAGAGAGAACCTAAAAAGAAGAGAAAGAGAGATCGGAAATGTCGGTGACATCAACGGTGGAGGAGAACCACCAGAAAAATCCATCAACGCCGCCGGAGGAGAAGAAGAAGAGGAGATGGGTGTTTTGGGATAGAAGGTGGAGGAGATTAGATTATGTGAAATTCTCAGCTTCTTTCACTGTTCATTCTCTTGCTCTCTTGGCTCCGTTTTATTTCACTTGGTCGGCTCTTTGGGTTACGTTTTTGTTTTACACCATCGGTGGTCTTGGTATCACCGTCTCCTATCATCGGAACTTGGCTCACCGGAGTTTCAAAGTCCCTAAATGGCTTGAGTATCTCTTAGCCTATTGTGCCCTTCTCGCTATTCAGGTTCATAACCTTTTTATTTTTTAAAGATATGGAATAATAGTAGTAGATCTTTTTTTTTTTTGGACAAAAATAATAGTAGATCTTAATTTCTTGTTGTACTTTATTTTAGTATATAGATCTTATAATAAAATATATTTTTAAATAGGGAGATCCGATTGATTGGGTGAGTACTCATCGTTATCATCACCAGTTCACGGATTCGGAACGTGATCCACATAGTCCCAAGGAAGGTTTTTGGTTTAGTCATCTTCTATGGATCTATGACTCTGCCTATCTTGTTCAAAAGGTGATTTCGTTTGTTTTTTTTTTTTTTTTTTTGTGTGTGTAAATAGTCTATTTTGTTAGTAAATTGTTTTATTTGTAATTAAAATATCTAAATCTCGATTAATTAATGTAGTGTGGAAGAAGAGCAAATGTGGAGGATTTGAAGAGGCAATGGTTTTACAGGTTTCTTCAGAAAACAGTGCTATTTCACATTTTAGGATTGGGCTTCATTCTCTTCTATCTTGGTGGCATGTCCTTCGTTACTTGGGGAATGGTAATTGATATCTTTTTAAAACGTATATTGGTTATAAATTCTAGAATCAATTTTGCAATTAATATGTATGGTTGGTGTGATTCTCAGGGGGTAGGAGCAGCTTTGGAAGTGCACGTGACTTGCCTCATAAACTCACTCTGCCATATTTGGGGCACTCGAACTTGGAAGACCAATGACACTTCTCGTAATGTTTGGTATGTAAATATTAATTCTAACATTTTTGGTTTGTGTACTTGAATGGTATAATATCTTCTATGACACTTACCCTAAATACAAAAGTACACATGAATTGGAGACAGCTCATGTTCCAAAAACGCAATAATGTGGTTGAATTATATTTATATCTTTTGTTTTTGGAAGGTGGTTATCGGTATTTTCGTTTGGAGAGAGCTGGCACAACAATCATCATGCGTTCGAGTCGTCGGCTAGACAAGGACTTGAATGGTGGCAAATCGACATTTCGTGGTACATTGTTCGGTTTTTCGAGATTATCGGTTTAGCGACCGATGTGAAAGTGCCTACAGAGGCTCAACGACGTCGTATGGCTATCGTTCGTTGATGAAATTGCGAGAGAGAGAGAGGGCATAGCAAAAGGGATCTATTCTATGTAATTAGAATAATTTCTAATCCTAAAAGAGTTATTATTATTGTTTTTTTTTCTTTTCTTCTTTCTTACTATTACTTTTGAAGTTTTGGGTTAACGCAAAGGACGTTTCCGATGTGTTTTGGTGTTGGACCAAGTTGATCAAGATATTTGTCGTAATTGGTATTATAATCTTTAGTGGGAGGGCAACTAGTACGTTAATTACGGTCTTTTTATCTCTCTATGTGAGACTATTTTAATACATTCATACACTTGTCTAAAAATATCTAATCGTCGTTTACGAAAAGAAGAAAAGCAAAAAGACATAAGACTTGTTCAAAAGGAGAGATATATTGGTTGTTGGAGTTTATAGCCACATATAAATTACCCTTTTTATATAATCTATGTGACTAATTCAATATACATGAAAAATAAAATTACAAAAGAAGAAAAGCAGAGACAGAGACTTTTTCAATGCGAATATATTGGTTTTTGGAGTTCATTGGCTTTTTGTTAAAACCTAAAGTTTTGATGTACGTATGTCACTCATCATCACTGGTTTTACATTGAAGTCGGCACTATTTTGGATTGAAGTCGGTACTCTTTCTTAACTGTTGGGTTTTCTTTAAAAAATGGCACACAAGTTTATATATGCTACTCGGATTTCTTGAAAAAAGGAAATATGATTTTACCGTTGGATTTTATTCTTGGCGAATAGTATTTATTTTGAAATGGGTGGTCTTAGAACCAAAATAAAAATAAAAAAAATGAAGGAAAAAAAAAAAAAAACTAAAATGTATTCTATTCGAAAATTCGAATTTGGAAAGTAGGTTAGGTTATTTATTAAAGTTCTTATTAGTGACAGTGACCAACTTGATTCTCTTCCTCGACGATCAAATCCTACTAGCTAATCATCAACTATCGTCAAGTCAATCAACAAGGTAAAAAAATAGAACTCTTGTTTTGGCTTTGGAGAATTTAAAAATAGACTAGCCCAATAAATCTCAGTTGTTAATCCTTTTTTTCTAGTGTGGTTACCGCAGATTTACCTTAGTTACGAAGATTACAACGGTATGAACAAAAACTATTTGAATAACAAGCTACAAATTATATACACTCCACCTAAATTTCTTATAACAATAACGATCGAAGTACGAGTTTGGTAATTCCTTGAATTCAGCCGAAATCTAACTGCGGTGTTGAACACAACTTGTTTAAAATTTGAGTAGAAAAATTAGAAGTTTTACAACAAAAGTTAATAAGAAAAACCTTTTTTCTTTGGTTTTGTTTTTTGTACTTTTTTTTTTAAAAGGTCCAAGTCAAAGGGTGCACACTCATTTGTGGACTACAAATGCAAACCAAAGGTTTACCTCAGAAAAAGCCTAAGCTTATAGGTTAGAAATCATCCTTTGCTTTTCGGATGATACCTAAAGCTTCTGCTTCATCTGCGGTCTCTGGAATGCGTAAAGCCCGACGAATATCTGTATTTGAACTGCGGAGGAAGGGGTTACAAGCTTTCTCCATCTTTAGTGTTGTCGGAATCTGAAGTTTGGCAAAGATACACAAGTTAACCAGCAAAATTGAGCAGTGCATAAGGATCATTGGTGATGAATCTTTTTTTTACCGTAGGTAATTTCTTGCTACGGAGCTCTGCAACATGAGCTGCATAAGACTGGAGTATTTCGTTGTTTGGCTCTAGAGACAACGCAAACTTGGAATTACTCTGCACACCCAAATCAAATTATAGTCATTTGAAACCATCTCTTTTAGTAAAAAGCTTTTCAACAACACTAGAATACCAAAATATAACAGACCAGTGTATATTCATGACCACAGTATATGCTGGTGTCATCTGGTAAAGAGATGATCTTTTGGAGAGAAGCAAGCATCTGCAGAACATGTGCAGAGGATTTTTAAAAAATACATGAATTGATTCTGAGAGGTTCGTTCCAAAGGTAATGTACTTAAGCAGAAACATAGACAGAGATATGTGGTGTTTACCTGCTTAGGAGTACCTTCAAAGAGTTTACCACATGATAAGCTAAACAAAGTGTCCCCGGTGAAGATAGCTCGTGATCCTGGAAAGTATAAGCTGATATGGCCTGCAAGTAGAATGTAGATGATAAGAGACAAAGAGTAAAACGTGGGACAACAAGGCTTAAGAGGTATATAACTTGGATGGTTTTCATTTGCACAACAGAAACCGTCAAAACCTCATATATGTTGGCCATATGCATATCTAATTTGAAGAAGAGACGAACAAGACTCAGGTTATATAATTTATAATAGAACTCTCATGTTTCCTCAATACAATGCAGGTACAAACTTAATCCAGGGATTATTCGAGAGAAACTCCAACTTTTCCAGAGACCCTTTACTCACCAAAATTCCCCATAATCCACAAGTCTGTTGAAAACTATTCAAACTCCTGTACGCTTACATGTCCACTTGACTTTTTTGAGCAAGAGATACAACTCTATCCACTGTGACGAGTTAAGAGTTACGACCACATAAGGAGTATACAGTATCTATTTCAACACAGTCTCTAATCTGTATGGAAATCCACCCTTACTAAACCAAATCTACAGTCTCAGCTTAATCTCATACGTTATTTAGATATAATGAAGACACTAAACATAGGCTGAAATAATCGAATCTCGAACTACTTGAAAGTGGGAGTTTTTAGCTAAGCAAAGGCTTAATTGGAATGCAAGAACATGCAGGGAATAAAATAACATTCAAAGCTTCAAAAGTTGATATGAGAATTATAAACAACCTTTTGTGTGGCCAGGAGTATCCATAACATGGACTTCATGGCCAGCAAACATCCATTTGTCACCATCCTTCAAGGCTATATCAATTCCAGGAATCCGGTCTTTATCCATAGCTGAGCCAATCACCTGCATTCCAAAGATGTAACCTTCGATTATCCCAACATTTATTTCCACAAAAATGGTATCACTGCACATAAAGAGAAGTTTAAATTTTCCTACCTTGGCCCCGTACCTGTCTTTTAATTCCAAATTCCCACCAGTGTGATCATAATGATGATGCGTATTCAATATATAAGTAAGATTTCGACCACTCCTCTTCAACGAATCGATAACAGGTTCAGCTTCAGAAGGGTCAACCACCCCAACTGTACCAGTATCCTCGTCATGCAAGATATAAGCATAGTTGTCCTTAAGACAAGGCACCTGAAAAGAAAAAACACCTGGGAATCATTTTCATTACATGATGACCTACTACAAATCTACGGACCAAAACAAGTAAGTATTGTGAGAAAAATGGTGTTAGGAGATTCCCACAGCACACACACCAGTTCAATTTGCAGTGAGGAGACATTGGAGACACTGCAGAATTTTGACACTCGGATAGATTTACCAGCACCACGCAAAGTCCTAAGAGGTGAAGAGACCAGCTTCATCACTCTGCACACAAGACCCTTTCTGAGGTTAAGCTGTCTCACACATGGCTGGCTTGATAGCTTCTGAAAGCAATACGATCATCAAGAATTAACCATCAAAAAGGTCAGATTTTCTCTTGTCATGAATCAAATACAAAAATTCAGAACATCACAAGGATAGATTTTACCCAAACACAAAGAATCACAAGAACCTACAAGGAAAGAAAACAAACCCTAGAACATCGAAAGAAGGAGATAGCAGAAGAAGCTTTTGAGATGGTTTGCATATCTCTATCGATCGATCTTCAAAGAGAATTCGAAGAATTTCTCTCGCGTCTCTCAATCTCTCGGAGAATTCTCTCTTGGATCTAAACGATCTTCCAAGAGAATTGACGCAGAAAGCGCGTCAGAGAAAAGCCGTACAGAGTCTGAGAGACAGAGAGAGAGAGAGAGAGCATTGTGCGCTCATCACACAAATTTGTTATACAACTACCTAAACCGGAACGAACCGGACTGGGACGTATCGTACCGAGTACTAAACCAAAACATTAAACAGCGAGGCATGCTCTCTGTCTCTGGTTTTAGGTAAAGACGTGTTTTCACGACTATTAAAAATGGATCCAATTTTCTAAATAAACTAAACTAGATAGAGTGTTGTGCTTAAACTACAAGATTTGATCATATTATTAAACTTTGCATTTACTCTCCAAAGCATCTTTGTGTGTTTGCCGACAAAAGGTACTTTTCATGTAATTTTAAAATTTCTAATTGACTTGATGATGTACAATTGTTACATTTACCTGATTTTACTATAGAAAGCATTGTCAGGGACGAATTCAAGGCAAAAAAAAACATTTATTCCTTATAAGCGATTCTATAATCAATGTGTTGAAATAAATTACAAAATGAATCATGCTTTATATTAAAAAAAAAAAAACATGAATTCACATGATTCACGACATGACGCGAGCATATATGTATGTATTTAAACTTGTTTTCTTAATTGTCCTAAATGTGTTTCGTTTGGTGGACCAATATAAAATCTTAGTCCATTTGATTTGTTTTATATTGGGTGCCACGGTAACATACGCGTACGTAGGCATCAACACTTGTCGTTAGCTGACTGAAACACAAGGCTTGAATTTAATGCGCCTTGTTTAAGCATTATTTATCTAGTAATTTATGGTTTTATTATCATGTTGAACAACAAAAAATGGTTTTGTTCTATACAAGTCGATAATGTTGTGGATCGATATATACTCATTCTTCAGAGTCACCGGCCGGTAAAACTTTAACCGTAAAAGTGCTATGGTATCTAGGAACAGGGAATACAGGATCGGCCAGATAAACCGGAATTGTGATCTCTCATGTGAATAAGAACTCGTGGTGTATAACTTGTTTGATTAATTCCAATATTGTGTTTGTTGTTCAAGACTTCAAGCCGAGTTTCCTCCCAAATAAAAGTCAAATCTCATGAAAATCCTAAGAGGCCAAAATTCGCGAGTCAAACAAACAAACAAACCCTGATGTTTATCTATAAACAAACACACATTTTTAAGTTATAATTAACCCAATTAAATATAAAAGGAAAAAGAAAAATCAACCTAATTTTCACTTCGAAAACTTGATGATGGATCGATTATTGAAGGGATCCGGTTCGTTTTCTACCCGGTCATTTGCATAATCTCTAATCTCCACCTTCTTGAGTTATTTACTTTATGCTCCTAATAAAATTAAGTGAAACACACCTGATATATTTATGAAAGTTAAATGTATATTTGTGTTATAACTCATCTATAGCATAAAATAAAGGCGACTTTCAAGTTTCGTTTATATTATACACGTTGTCTTTACCATATTGATATATTTTAATCGGTACTTTTCGTTTTATGTTTAATGCAAACGTAAACAAATAACCATTAAACTTATTTTAAACATGAAATTAGTTACTTAATTATTTCATTATTACTTACCGAGTTTGAATGTAGCTAATTTATTTGGAACTTTGATTTGCTAGTCTACATGTTTTATAAACTTTGATAAATCAATCCTTTGAAAATTTTGATGGATTTGCATAGACTTTGTAGTATTTTTTTTACCAATGCATGTGATAATAGATTATGTATTGCCAACTATGTCACCAACCAACGATACAACAAAATGATACCAAAGTGGACTATATACAATACATATGGTACGGACTACGGAGCAATAAAAATGGCGGCATAGTTGTAAAGTTGTAGAAACTCAAACCAAGAGTGACGATATATTTATCATTACACCAAATATTTATCCTACAAAGTATAAACATATTACAGCGATTAAATAACTCGACAAAAATAATACCTCCACAATATTAGTGAAATTTTAGATATGAAAACTAGAGTACATTTTTCATCAAGATATTTTTTGACGCATGTTTTTATCTTTACTTTTAGCATTATTTTATAGTAAGATCTCTAGTATAGTACTAATTAAGTATTAGGGTTACCATATTATATTAACAATGGTATCTTTTAGAATAAAGTTTCACCAAAAGCTAATCCAACTTATAAAAAAAACGAAACCCTTACTTTTTTTTTTGGTAGGATCGAAACCCTTACTTTTGTAAAAGATGAGATGTTTTTAAGTTGAGCGTCTAAAATATCTTTCGAATTCGCAAAAGAGCTTCGATTTCCACACTTTGTCACGAAAAGAGAAATTTGCATCTGACTATACGGAACAAAAATGAAAGCAATCTGAACCAGAATTCGGTTTAGAGTGAGGCAGCTAGGGCCAGGTCTTGTATATTTTTAGCAAAAGCCTATATGGACTTGGACAAACCGTGTCTAGTGAATTTTCTATTACAAAATCCTACAAATTTGGTTCAAAATGTTGAAAACGAATTCTTTCGTAGTAAAGTCAAAGTCAAAGTTCATATATGTGTGTGTATACATAAACATAAGATAGTGAGACCAAACTAGCCCAAAGTCAAACAATGACATCTCAAAAACCCTATATATATGAGTCATTATCGAATTTATTACACATACAAAACAAAAAAGGCCCTACACTCACCAATAGAAAGCTCATTTTTGTTTTTGTTTCTCATTCGAAAAAATAAAATTCTAAGCATGATGAAGAAACAATTGGTGGTCGTAGTTATGTTAGTTGTTATGTTCGTTGTTTTCTTGGACGCTACGCAAGTTGAAGCCATGAGGCCTTTCCCGGAGACCGTAGATGAGATCCGGCTTCTGTTTCAGGCGTTGCAAAGAGGTCCGGTCCGTGGTTCTGGTCGGAACGGTTGCACCAATATTCCTCGCGGTTCAGGCAGATGCCATAACTGAGCTGTCACACGAATCTTCATCTTCATTTCATCATTCTTTGATCCCATTTTTTCTCACATTTGTGTGTTACGTACATAATTACATTTACGTAATTATACGATATCTTTAGACTTCGAGTCTTCTTCATGTAATTGAATTGTAATCAACGGAAACTTAATTAGTTTATTAGCGTGTTTACTCAATACAAACATGTTTTCTTTTTGCTATACTAGCTAGTTGGTCAAGAAAATGGCATTTTTAGAAACAAATGTAATAATCAAAAAAAAAAATCGTTTTAACCAAAAAGCTTTATTGGACTTTTCGGCTTGGAAAAGGTAGACAATACAGTGAATAATTAAAGTATTTGACTTATAATTTTACCTGAAAAAAATCACATAACACAGCAACATGCGCTTTATATACAGCGTCTGAAGAGAAAAGACGTTCTCATGGCAATGTATTCCCACTTACACGATTACACCGTTCTGTAGCTGGAGGTTTTTCCCTCCGACCTCTCTTCTTAATGCAATTTCACTAAAGGGCAGACATTGACGGCAATAAAACCAACGCCCCTTTATGTTTCCTACTTCACGGTAAAATATGAGTCCGACATGTTTTGGTCGGGGATCTACGTGCACGAGATACCGAGATTTCATCAACGTTTCTGTGAAAACAAAACCTGCATTGATGTGTGAACCTTGGGATAATTAGTTTTATCAGTAGCAGTAACAGCAACATTGTAAGCTTGTTGACGATGCAAAGATGCTAACGCAATGAACTTGAATCTATTACGCTTTTGAATCAGAAGTTTTACTCATAGTCCTAAATTCATGATCCTATACTGCAATGCTCAAAAGCAAGCAGGAAGGAGTATGCAACACATCTTCGAAGTGAGGCTGTGATGCATGAAAATCGTAGTCTTGTACAGCTGTACGATGTAAGAGAGCTAGAAACAGAGCATGTAAGGCGTATCTACCTGTGTGAAACTGCCTATGTTCTGTAGCCAAGCATTAAATGCTTGTAATAACGACCCCGGATGATTCTCTGCCACCAATATTTGGTTGAGCTCCAGTAACTCATTTGCATACGCTCTTGGATGAGCCTGTAATGCGAATCATGAGCGTGAGTGAGGACTGGAAAAAAAATAGAGATTTCAAAGAGCAGATCCATGGGAGAAGGGAAATTTTTTTGCTGACCATCTAACAAGGCATCTTTTAATGCCTTGAGATATTGGCCGGAAGAAAGATGGATCTCGCTGAGTATACAGTATCCCAACCTGAAAAAGAATTAACCGTTTTTAGTAAAATGGGTCCCGAAATTAGTGTCTACTGATCAAGAAAAGGTAGAAATTTTTACCTCAACCAATGCCATAGCAGAAGGGTCTTCAAAGATCTCAAGGCTATAGTCACCCAAATAATTTACCTACAGAACCATTGATGCTTATACACTATCAGTGATGCTATAAACATTTGTTTCATGTCTGACAAGGTAAAATGAACAAACTTTGGCTTTATTTCTATTAAGGGTCTAGAAGAGTAGGTACCGCGAATTCTGTATTGACAAGAGCTTGAACAAAATCCATCAGCTGAATTTTAGCCCACTCAGAGTTAAGAGTAGGATCCTCAGTTTGCGGAGGATGCCTCCATGGAGCACCAAAATGTAATTTTTCATACGGAATGCTTCCTTTTCGTACATCAGTGGCATACCGTTGAAGCCGCAACAAAGCTTTGTCCATTGCAGGATTAACCACAGCAACCTATCCAAGAAAACAGATATTAAAAATTAACGGTGAATTTCGTGCGTAATTTGAAAGCAATTGCAAGCAATCAGTTTAAATGAGCTTACTTGTAAATATGCCAAGTATGCATCCACAATATCTTCAAATGTACCTGCTTTACTCCCCATCAAACTGATAAAACACAACGACTTTAGGTCACATTTGAAAAACGAAAAAGTAGAGGGTTGACACATTTTGAGGACGAAGAAACCCATGAAGGACAAAAGGAAAAGAAAGTGCTAAGATTAGAGCATACGAAAGAGCAGGAAACCATTACCTTTGGTAATGATTACTTTGTTTAAGCGCATAAAGCTCGAATAGATGCCGAGAATTGGCACCAAGAACATCAGCAATGATAGTCCACTACAATTCCAACATTGGGTTAAACCTCTAGTATTATATACAGCATCACACTTTAAAAAAAGAATAACCAGAATTTTAGCAGAATAGATCATTCAACCATTCTGGTTTGATGTTGTTATGTTTTAGAGTTGTCACACATATTTTGGTTTCATTAAACAAGCAGTGCCATTACCTACAGCATTTTTCTCACCTCCGAAGCACTGAAGTAATCAGGAACCATGTGTAATTTTGCTTCTTGAGGATTCCATCCAAATGTCTACAAATGAAACAAAGCCAAAGTGCATCGTTAGAAAGGTAGAATGAAGAAAGATAAGAAATTGAACTCTCATGTTAATATAATGAAGGTGAGATTGGGAAAATCTACATTATAAATCAAATTACCAATACATGCTCACACAAATACACATAGAATCAATAGTTTAATTAGATGTGTACATGTAGCTTCTATACCTCACGAGAGATGAAAATGTCTGGAAACCCGTAGTCAACAAAGGCTTGATATGAGTAGTAGCTGTCATGATTCAAAATGATTAAACATCAGAGAAAATGATTAAAAAAAGTTTCAGAAGACATTTCTGTAACTAAGAGCCAAGTTCAGAATGGAAAATGACTATTCAGACTTTCGGTAACTAAATGACATACTACAAAGTGATACAAGTCAGAAACCAGTTTCCCCTCTAGTGTTGAGAAATTGAAACTTAAAGGGCTAGCTTAAGAGACCAAGCAATCATCAGATACTAGCAACAGCCTGTCCTTACTAAACACAAAAAGGCTAACAAAAAACAGGACCAACCTATCTGAAGTCACGAATAGGACAGGTAGACAGCGCTCATTCGCACTTAAAGCTATTATTCTCCATATAAGATTGTCATGGTACATTGACGCTGAGACTGTTGAATCATCAGTCTGAATAGCCCTCTTCAAGATTTCAATGTTGTTTAAGACCAGCTTAGGCTGTCAAACGAAACAAGAAATAGAGACAAACAAAAATAAGTCAGCTACTTAACAATCAGAAAGTAACATCAATAGTTGGCAAAATGTTTCCAGATGATACAGCCACTGTTTACTACTCATAAGATCAAAGATTCAGTGACCTAAGAAAAAATGAAGTACTTATCTTACTTATTCCATTACCTGGAAGAAACCAATCTCTGCAGCTTGTGATAACAACTCAAGCATTAGCAACGGCCAATCAGTACAAGAATTCGCTAATGTTCTCGAAAACCCGTTAGTTCGATTAAGATGGGCAATGGCATTGGCTTTCCAACCCTGGTGCACCTTTATAACCTCTTTAGCCAATCTTAACGCAAAAGCAGTCTCTCTATAATACGAAGCCTCTTCTACAGACAAGCTATTACCTTTCTCTTCCAATTCAAGCAACCCATCAATCTCATCGGCATTTTGTCGAACAGATAGCGCATACACTGCCCGTTCCCAGAGAAATGAAACGGAGACTTTCTCTGGAACGGCAATGTTATAACCCTCAAGTATACGACGAAGTGCAGTATTAAGACCATACCATTTGTTCATAGTAGTGAAAATCTGCTGCGAGCTTAAACTCCCAAGTTTGATAGCTTTGTGACTCATAGATTCAAGACAATTCTCGAGCTGGGTTTTGCAATTGGACAACAATGGTGGGTCAACACTGGTCCAAGACGTCCATGGATATGATTGGTGGTGATCTGGATGGTGTTCCGTTATCGATTGCGCAAAATCTACATAGCCAGCGAGATGTGGCCCTTTGTTCCAATCTCCGAGTAGACCTAACAAAAACGAGATCAGAACGAATCAAAGGTACGATCTTTTGTACTAAATTGGGAAAATTTAGGGTTTAAAAGAGAAGATTTTACGGTTGAGAATGAGAGTGGTTTTGCCGACGCCACGAGGACCATGGAGGATGAGAGGCTGAGGAACACGGTGGCGTTGGACATGGTTGTTGAGAACTGTTTCTAGAAGTGGCCTTGGAATTATCTTCCAAGGTTTATTCACCATTTCTCTGCTTCTCCACCTTCTTCTTGAGCTCGATCAGTGTATGGGTTTAAGGACACTCCCAAATCTCAGGGGAAATGTTGAATCAAAACCATTGGAGGGTTTAAGCGTTTAAGGATCTCGGCAACGATGAGCAAATTTCAAATCGAACCAATCTCAACCGGTTTTTACAATCTCAACCGGTTCAGTTTCAAATCAAACATAACCAGTAATATTACACAAATTGTTAAACAAACTTTCAAATAATTTCTGAATTAAGAAATTTTATAAGATAATGATACATGTATTTGCTTTCGGAGCTATGTTACAATTTACAAGAACAACAGTTAAAGCATAATTTATCGTATACAACAAAAAAATGAATAAAAAAATATTCCACACATAGCCCAAATTTGGGCATTGGGATCAAGCTTGAAGCTTCACGAGAGGGATCATCCGTGGCACGAACCCGAGCCTCTGGGGATGTTAGAGCAACCATTAGGACCAGAACCAGGGACCGTACCCTTCTGCAACGACTCGAACACGATCTCACTATCAAAGGTGGTTCGTAACAGCCTCGTGGCTCCTACTTGTGTGGAGTCCAAGAAAATCACAAAAATGGCAAGCAAAATCACTCCAAAGATCACTTGTTTCTTCATCATCATCACTTAACTTTGTAGTCTCTCTTGAACTTAAAGAAAGTTCAATTTGTTTCTTTCTTTGTACTAAAAAGTATATGTGGTAATGTCGTTTGCTCTTTTTGGATCGCCTGAGTATGAGTTATATATATAAAAATGGGTTTACTTGGATTCGTATGGATTGACTTTTACTTGGAAAGAATTGGTTTTCGACATTTGAAGTAGATAATACATATTGAGACTGATCAAACAAGTTAACACATAACACGGTTTTGTCTTGGACCCCAAGATTTATTGCTCAGGGCGAAGAAGATCACGCGTCTCACGAAATTTTCAAGCAAATTAGGAGGAAAAGACATCCGGAATGTTATTACGGTTCAAGTTGGTTAGTGTATTTCCAGTTTGGTTTTCTAAAAATGATTGTCAATTTGACATTTTTGCTATGTGGGATTTTTCTTTTTCTTTTTCTATATCAATGTTACGTATTTATATAATTTTCAGTAAAATTTGACGGAGGATATAATGTTATAGTAGTAGTAGAGAAAAATCGAAAAACTAAAAGAAAAAATTGAAACAACCAAAACAAAACAAAGAAAGCATAAAAGAAGCCCAACTAGCGGAATCCAAAAAGAAACTTCGATTTTGAATTGCGAATCTCGAATATTTGCGTGATTGCCTCAGATCCAAAGAACTCGAATCCTCATCGTCGTTGCCATGAGCAATTCTTATCCTAAAACAGGTCTCAAACCTCAGGAAAAGGCGTTTAATTACCGCTTTTTCGAAAACTAACACAAAAACACGTCAGATTTAATTTAGCATCGTAGCTCTTACGTGGTCAAAATTCTGATTTTTGTTCTAATGTAAACTATCAAGTTAGACGAATACGACCACCATGGCATTTTCAGTGTATTTGGAGGAATTTCATAGCGACAAGGAAGAATTCTCAACCTTTTCTTTATCTTTAATTTTTCGTAGTGCTAATGTAAAAGCGGATAATCTGACACGAAAAATTCGTACAGAACCGATTCATATCACATATGTAAACAACATTCCTCAGGAACGAGTCTCTTGAGTGTTAATTAATTTTGGATGACAAAAGACCACCATGATTCAATCGTTCGGCGGATCCTACGAACTCATCTATGATTTGTTGATTTTTTTGTTACTATATTTCAATATATTTTCTACCAATGCTATTTTTTTTTCTTTTTTCAATTCCCTTTTTTTCTTCATTTTTTTTTGTCTTCTTCTTTTTTCAATTCCCTATTGTCATTTTATGGCCATAATTTTATGTTCACATAACCTTTTTTTTTTGCCTCAAAAATATAAAACAACAAGTGATAGTAATCATATAGTATTATATTTTTTTAATTATAAACATATTGCATAACGGACGGTGCACATTATTGATTATTTTTTTTTGTCGTCTAGATTTATTATTAATTGCAAATTATGAGAACTGTGAACGGCTATAATTGTACATCGCTGGAGATCTCCTACACACTTGCCTCCATTAATCTGCAAATTTGTTAATAAATCGCAATATCTGGAACTCGAACCCCAGACCTCTTGGTGTAGAAGCATTAATCAACCCTTAGTCAACCAATGGGCCAAGGAGCTTACACCATTATTGATTATTAATCTGATATTAAATTAAATCACTGAATAAATCTGATATTAAAGTAATAATTGCAAGCACAATCGATTGCGATAAAAACAGCTTTTAGGGTAAAAAAGGGTTAAACGGTAGAAAGACAATCTGGAAAAGCGTCGCCGTGAAGCTTTACTCTCACCTGAAACATTCCTCAATCCGTCATCGTCAACATCATCATCTTCTTTGAGAGAGAAGGCGTATGTATAAATAGTACTCTCGCACTGTGTAATCTTCTCTTACCGGAGAAATGGCGAGCCCTCATAAGCCGTGGAGGGCGGAGTATGCCAAGTCGTCGAGGTCTTCATGCAAAACTTGCAAGTCCGTCATCAACAAGGAGAACTTTCGTCTTGGAAAGTTGGTTCAATCTACTCACTTCGATGGCATCATGCCCGTATGACTCTCTTTCTCTCTCTCTCTTTCTCCCAGAATTTGGTTGGACCCGTCTCTGTACTATACTCTTGTGCTTGTTAGTGTGCGTTCTAATGATTCTTTCTGATTTTGAGATGAAAAAGTTACTTCTTTTAGTGTTTTTGTGAGGCAATTTGGGTTTATTTGGTTGACATTGGCTACCTTTGAGGGTTTTATCTTGTTCTCTCTGCTTCCATTATTCTACATACATTGCAAATTTATTGTGTGTGTCAAGCTTGTGTTCTTTGGAAAATTGGAGCTTTTTCTACTTCTGATAAGCTTTTTATCCTCCTCCCATTATGTTCTTTCCTCATTTAGGCCTAATCGTGTGTGATAAATCAGCAATGGAAGATACTATTTTAGTTACTTTTGAGTTTATATAGTACTTGATGATTGCAAAAAGGTTCGTGCTTTTTACAATGACATGTGTGAATTGCTAGTTTTTTCCTTTGGAACTCTGGCTTAATTCTGTTTGGATGATCATATAATCATTTGGTTAGCTTTAAACTTAAACTTTTGATAGTTGTTTGATGTCTTTATGCCGCCAATCCTGTGATCACTATCAGCTTTGTTATTCATGAGCTTTTATTCTTGTTGTTTTCTCAAATGGCAGTGGTCATTCGTCTCTTGTTCTTTTCACTTAGGAGTTCCTTCTTCCTGCTGCTTAACTTCACCATGTTAATTATATGTTGCTTTAGCTCCAGTTGACATGAAGTTCTCCTGACTGACGTATCCTCTCTCTACTTTTTTTTTCTTACACAGATGTGGAACCATGCTTCTTGTATACTGAATAAGACGAAGCAGATAAAATCGTATGTAAACCAATGTCACTTTGTTCAGATATTAAAAGCGTTTGGCTATCAACCCGTTTTTATCTCTTGGTTTTGCTAGAGTTGATGATGTTGAAGGCATAGAATCACTACGTTGGGAAGATCAGCAAAAGATTAGAAAATATGTCGAATCTGGAGCAGGGAATAGCACAAGCACAAGCAAGAGCAGTACCGCTAATAATGCCAAACTAGAATATGGGATTGAAGTGTCACAAACTTCTCGTGCCGGTTGCAGAAAGTGTAGCGAAAAGATCTTGAAAGGAGAGGTAAAGTGTTGTTCTACTTCATCTGTCATGGTTGTAGTATTTTATATGAACTGGTTCGACATGCATTAGGTTATTGTTATGCATTTTTGTTTTCCAGGTACGTATATTCTCTAAGCCTGAAGGCCCGGGTAACAAGGGTTTGATGTGGCATCACGCAAAATGTTTCCTTGAAATGTCTTCCTCTACTGAACTGGAAAGTTTGTCTGGATGGAGAAGTATACCAGACGCAGACCAAGAAGTTCTTCTTCCCTTAGTGAAGAAAGCTCTGCCGGTAGCCAAAACTGGTAAGAGTCTTAATGTGTTCGGTAATATATTGATTTCCTTGTTACAGTATCCTGATTTGCAGTTCTATAGTCTGATGTCTTTCTGTTAATTTCTTTTGGCACAACTGGGACAGAGACAGCAGAAGCACGTCAAACAAATTCAAGAGCAGGCACAAAACGAAAAAATGATTCTGGTGATAACGAGAAGTCGAAACTAGCAAAAACTAGTTTTGACATGTCTACAAGTGGTGCTTTACAACCCTGTAGCAAAGAAAGGGAAATGGAGGCCCAAACTAAAGAATTGTGGGATCTGAAGGATGATCTGAAAAAATATGTGAAATCAGCTGAGTTGCGGGAAATGCTTGAAGTAAATGAACAAAGTACACGAGGATCTGAACTTGATCTGCGTGATAAATGGTAAATTACTTTGTGAAGCTGTCTGGAAGTAAATTGCTTGTCTTTTGTTTTATTTCTGTTACTGTTGTGTGGATCTTCGTAAAAGGTAATTTGGATCAGAGAAACCAATGATGCTTAATCATATTTCTGTCCTCTCTCCTTGTTTCTGTTTAGTGCTGATGGCATGATGTTTGGCCCTCTCGCTCTCTGCCCAATTTGCTCTGGGCATCTTTCTTTCTCCGGAGGACTTTACCGATGCCATGGATACATCTCGGAATGGAGCAAATGTTCTCATTCCACTTTAGATCCAGACCGCATCAAAGAGAAGTGGAAAATCCCTGGCGAAACAGAAAATCAGTTCCTTCTGAAGGTAAATCAGTCCTTTTGTAGAGTTGATATTGGTATGGGTTAGGTTAGATGTGGTATATATTACTCATGAAGTAAATATTTTTATTTTGATTCCTTGCAGTGGAATAAGTCTCAAAATAGTGTGAAGCCAAAACGTATTCTGCACCCTGTATCGTCTGGTGAGACGTCTCAGGGTCAAGGTTCTAAAGATGCAACTGACTCCTCAAGGAGTGAAAAGCTGGCAGATCTTAAAGTTTCAATTACTGGAGTTACTAAGGAAAGGGTATGTCCTTCTGTGAAAGGTTATATTGTAAACTATCTTTGCACTTTATTGCTTGATGGGATCATTTTGCAGCAAGCATGGAAGAAGAGAATTGAGGAAGCTGGTGGTGAGTTTCATGCTAATGTTAAAAAAGGTACATATTACTCGAGGGTTTAGTTTAGATTATTGTGAAAATGTTTTAACTTTTGAATATCTCCGTTTCACAAATTTTTAGGTACAAGCTGTTTGGTTGTTTGTGGACTTACAGATATCCGAGATGCTGAATTGAGAAAAGCAAGGTAGAATAATGCCTTCATTGTGCTGATACTCTTTAACTGATCACACTATTTTTTGTCATGTTGAACGTTGGAGTTGATACATGTGTGGCAGGAGGATGAAAGTGGCAATCGTGAGAGAGGATTATTTGGTTGACTGTTTTAAAAAGCAGAGGAAACTTCCATTTGACAAGTTCAAAATTGAAGACACTAGTGAGAGCCTGGTCACTGTTAAAGTAAAAGGACGAAGCGCTGTGCATGAAGCGTCTGGCCTCCAAGAGCACTGTCACATTCTTGAAGATGGGAACAGTATCTATAACACAACTCTGAGCATGTCTGATCTTTCTACCGGTATCAATAGTTATTACATACTCCAGATAATCCAAGAAGATAAAGGTTCAGATTGCTACGTATTTCGTAAATGGGGCCGAGTTGGAAATGAAAAGATTGGTGGTAACAAAGTAGAAGAAATGTCAAAGTCTGATGCGGTTCACGAATTCAAACGTCTATTTCTTGAAAAGACCGGAAACACATGGGAATCTTGGGAACAAAAAACGAATTTCCAGAAACAACCTGGAAAATTTCTCCCGTTGGACATTGTAAGCATCTATATCTTTTGTATCTTCAGATTCTCTTATTTTCTTAAATCCTTCATAAACTAATTTGTATCTTTTGTTTCAGGATTATGGAGTTAATAAGCAAGTAGCCAAAAAAGAGCCATGTCCTGCCAGTAGCAACCTTGCTCCTCCATTAATAGAATTGATGAAGATGCTTTTTGATGTGGAAACTTACAGGTTAGAACTTATTTGCCATTGTCTTCTTCTCCTCTCCTCTCCCTAGAAACTGTCTGAAGTAACCTAATAATTACTTCCACAGATCTGCAATGATGGAGTTCGAGATAAATATGTCAGAGATGCCACTTGGGAAACTCAGCAAACATAATATACAGAAGGGTAACTCCTACTTGTATAGTTTTTCTTTTTTATATAATAAAATGTTAGTTCTGCATTACATTCTATTATGTTTGTTGTTGTTTGTTCTTCTAAAGGTTTTGAGGCATTGACGGAGATACAGAAGCTATTGACTGAAAGCGACCCCCAGCCTTCTATCAAAGAAAGCTTGCTTGTTGATGCTAGTAATAGATTTTTTACCATGATCCCTTCTATTCATCCTCATATTATCCGAGATGAAGAGGACTTTAAGTCAAAGGTACTTGCCATAGAACATGAACCATGGTGCTGTTTTTTAATTCTTGGCCTCTTTTTCTGCCTTACAAAAAATGTATTGCATCTGTGTGTCGCAGGTGAAAATGCTCGAGGCTCTGCAGGATATCGAAATAGCTTCAAGATTAGTTGGCTTTGATGTTGATAGCACCGAATCGCTTGATGATAAGTATAAGAAGCTGCATTGTGATATTTCACCACTTCCTCATGATAGCGAAGATTATCGATTAATCGAGAAGTATCTTAACACAACTCATGCCCCAACACATACAGTGAGTTCAAGCTCTGTTTATTCTTTTTCATGCTTATCATAATTTTCTAATTCTATATATGGTTATTGGATTTGTCAGGAATGGAGTCTTGAACTAGAGGAAGTTTTTGCTCTTGAAAGAGAAGGAGAGTTTGATAAATATGCTCCCCACAGGGACAAACTTGGCAATAAGATGCTCCTATGGCATGGTAAGCCAGCTGCAATCAGCCACACTTACATGCTTTGGGAAACTGATACAAGAAATTTCATTGTTAATATATTGTTTGAATATATATTTGTCTTGTTGATCAAATCCCTTAACCAAAATAACGCTGCTTCAGGTTCTCGATTGACGAATTTTGTTGGAATATTGAACCAAGGACTGAGAATTGCACCTCCAGAAGCTCCTGCTACTGGTTACATGGTTAGTACTCTCTCCGTGTCTATATTTCTGTGGATCTTATCAATCGAGGGTTCTTCGCTATCTAGTTAACTTGTTAGAGAACCTGAACTTTTAAAAAACCCCATTTTTCAGTTTGGAAAGGGGATATACTTCGCTGACCTTGTCAGTAAAAGTGCTCAGTACTGCTACACTTGTAAGAAAAATCCGGTGGGTCTAATGCTTCTGAGTGAAGTTGCATTGGGAGAAATACATGAGCTAACAAAAGCAAAGGTGAGCCCATATTACTTTTTTTTTATAAGTTATGCTACTAATCATTTGGTTCTTATCTTGAAACTATATGCACAACTTGAAATATTACTTACCTTCATATATGACTCTGTCTCTATGTCCACCATTCTTTAGTATATGGATAAACCTCCGAAAGGGAAACACTCCACTAAAGGGCTTGGCAAGAAAGTGCCTCAAGATTCAGAGTTTGCCAAGTGGAGAGGTGATGTGACTGTCCCTTGTGGAAAACCTGTTGCATCGAAGGTCAAGGCTTCTGAGCTTATGTACAACGAGTATATTGTCTACAACACAGCCCAGGTAACTTCTGTTTCCAAAATAATCTTCCTTGTTCTTTTCACCATTTGACAATGGGAAATTTCGCAAACATTATGTCCTCTTTTGTTCTTGTCGAGTAATTGAAATGAGAAATGAATTCTCCAGAAAGCTCATACTTCAGAATACAGTTTCAGCTATTAGTTTTGCAGCATATACTGTGATTGATTCTTATATGGTTATGGTGTGTACATGTCTGACAAAGATTGATTTGTCTCTGAACAGGTGAAGTTGCAGTTCTTGTTGAAAGTAAGGTTTAAGCACAAGAGATGAGCCTGAACCAAACAAGAAGACATAGCTTCTGATAACACGAAGACTTAACTTTTGTAACCAAATGTCTTTTAGGAGATCAAATCCAACAGGAAGTCACAGATTTTGTCGCTCTGGCTTTGTAGATGTGTCTGATTTTAAAACAGCGTAGACTACATTTTGTTATGCTTTTTCTCAGTAATGACTACTTTTTGGTCTTAAGACTAAACACTTGTTCAAATCTGATGTTGTTTCTGTGAAAGAGCATCGGAAGTGGTTATTCTCAAAGAGAAAATGGTTGCCTGATTCGATCTCTGCTATGAAAAATATTGAAAAGTGGATACTATAATTCTTGAAGAATTTAAGGCTCAATTTCTGACAAAGAATTCACTTGTACTCAAACAGACCAAGGAAAATTGACCTCTTGATAGTAAAGAGATTCATTTGAGCTACAAAGAGACTCATTCCTATCCAAGGATCGCCCATGGTCGCGTGGAGTACCACTCATTAGGTCGAGGTCTGAGTCCAAGATTCCTTGGTGAAACCAATTGTGAAGATCTTGTGGCATTTGCTGAGCAATAAGTTTTTCTTGCTGCTTCATATTGCAACCAGGATCCTCTTGAGGGGACCTTCTAGAAGCTTCTTCTCTAAGTAGGACCACTTGAGCTTGTAAACTAACAACCTTAAGAACAAAAGTAAGTGAAGTTACTTGTAAGTACACTAGAGATGGTGAACCAAGACCAAAAACAATTTATCTACATTTCCTAAGAAAAGAATACCTGTTGTTGGAGGGAGAAGATTTGGGAGACGCAACCGTAAATAGGATCGTGGAGACGAGAGTGGGCCTCGTAAGAGATGGTTCGTACGGCGTCACATCGGTCATGATCAGGGAGATGAGAAATGAGTTTAGAGAAGTTGCTGGCTCCAAACACTTTGTGAATGGCTGAAAAATTAGAAGATCCTTCTTCGTAGCAAAAGTATGGTGCAAATACACAACCTTCTACACATTTCCTACGCAAGAACTTGCATCCTCCACATGGTGAGCCTAAACCTCCCATTCTCAAAACGTACTAATAATCTATTATTAACCAAATATTATTATCTTGGAGGAATATTAATACTTCTAATGACGATTATATAGTGCATGCGTGGAGGACTAAGGTGGGATTTATGATTACTCAAATTGTTATATTTTACATATTTGTCTCTCTAATGGCTTACAATTACAAGATTGCAGCTTCTAGTTTTTTTTTCTCCCTCAAGTTTATATTGTAAAACATCTCTTTTTTTTTTTTTTTTTGGTAAAACATCTCTTTTTATATAACTCGTTGTAATATATTATTGGGATTAAACTCCCAAGGTGGAGAATATTCGCGAAAATATTTGGTAGAACCATATTAATATTAATATCCAATCAAATGAGAGATTTGGTTGGCGTATAGGACAAAACAATGAGTAAACATGAACCAAACCCAAGTTGCTTTTTGTTGTGGTTTTAGCTTTTTTTATTCATAATTAATCTTCTCTTATTTTAAAAAATAAATTAGATGTTTACTTTACATGTACTTGTGAAATTATGATAAGATGTTGTCACCATTGCTGAATTTTGAAAATAATAATTTGAGATGTTAATGCTCAACATATACACCACATATGTGTATAAGTATTTTTCTTCTATATTTTAAAATTTGGACGAACCTGCATAAGAATAAAGGCTTTTGATATTATTAGTCTATGAAACAAGTTATTTCTATATCTCAATTTAATTATTTTACTATGATCTCAGCTTCGATCATACTTTACAGACTAGAAAAATAGGGAGACCCATGATTATCCAGCACACATTTAATCATGAATCATGATTAACTACAAATTATTCCAAAGTAATTGATCAAGTACAAAAGTTAAAAATTATTCGAAAATAATGAACAACTGATAGTGGATTTATGACTTAATGTTGGTTTAGTGGAGATTAAAAATAGTAAGAAAAATAGATTTTGAAGAATGAAGATTGATGATGTATATGACGTCTTTAGAGTTTTTTTTTAGCTTAATTTTTGATTTCTTATCTTTGTGTCAAGGACTTTGTGTGTCTTAGATATCCTAACTTGTGTCTAAAGTTCGCGGATAAGGAGGAGTTTTGGTTAAATACCGGCCGGATAACAAAGAAATAACAGAACCAATATCGGCCATGGGATCGGTCTCACCAATGACTGATCTAGGACTCCTCAAACAACCCTCATAAGCCACATTGACCATGCCCATCAATCAAATGCAGACCGATCCAAGATCCCTGGAGCCAACTAAACCAACATTAAGTCATAAATCCACTAGCTACATCTTTCAGCCATATCGGTCATATTTTTTATCGATCATAATCAGTAATCACAACACATCTGATCCAGAAGCTGCATTGATCCCGCCCTATGAAACCCAACATTATACTTACCCTTTGTAAATCCTATTCTACTGGGAAAATAATATAGTGCTCGTCTTATAATTGATGAAACCCGAACATTGCATTATGAGAAATAGTATGCAGTCGCATATTCCAAGGTCGAAAGAAAAAATAACAACTTTGTAACTCTTTAACTAATAAGCAAGCTTAAATGATTCACATAATTTTCAATAGAGTATCAAGGAGTTAAACATTGCAATGAATCTGCAAATTACATGTACATATACCAGTGTTAGATAGGGGAAGAGACGAAAGCCTAAGACACTTCCATGATCTATTAAAAGCTTCAATATATAGTGATGAGACAAAACCTGATTGATTAGTCAACGGCTTTAGAATCATTAGACGAAGATGCCTCACCAGATTCGGAGTGGTCATGGTGATGATCATGATGATGGTGATGGTTGTCATCTTCTTCTTCACTGTCATCCTCATCAAAGGGCTTCTGTTTGTGAAAGATGCAACACTTCTTGGAACTCTTCTTCTGCATGAACTCGTTGTCAACAGTCCCGTCTTTCCATGAAACTTTCTTCTTCTTACGGTTCAAGCGAAGGACTAATCTTTCAGTAGGCTGGGATTGAGAAACAGGGTTTTCTAATATAACAGAGGTTGTTGCAGAAGAAGAAGGCCTTGTCGCTGTGCTCATAGCTCAAGATAAGCTTTTGATTATCTGCATAGGGAGACAAAAATGATCAATCCATGGCTGCTCAAAAGACTACTTTCATGAGGTACATACAAGAAGCAAAAGTTTCACAAAAAGCATGAAGACACTGCAAAAATCTAATCCTAAGTCAAGTGGTTCAAGGGGGGATGTGTTATAGCTAGCCTATCATGTACCATTAAAAAAACTTAGACGATAACAAAATCGTGAAACCGAACAACGAAGAGAAAATCAAAAAAGACTTTAGGGTTCATTCATTCTTTTGGAAACAAAGAGATGCTATTTTCTAAACTCTCAATTCATTGCCTTGGAGATCTGAACCTAATCATTCGTAATTCCATGAGATATCGTTGGATAACACACATAAAAATAGAGAGACCTAGTTTCGATCGCCCAAAACAATATAACAAAACCTAAACCTAGCAAAACAAAATTAAGAAAATCGAAGAAAACCTGTGAATCCGAGGAGGAAGAGACGCTTGGCTTGGTGATGGAGAAGTGTTTTTTTTCCGCCGATGGAGAAAATTACTCGCGCTCCAAGAAGAAGAAGAAGAAAAAAAAAAAAAAAGTGGGTCGCATCATGTATTTATTTTATTTTCGGGTAATAAATGTTTTTAAAATTTGGCTAATTTATTTTAAGGAAAATGAAAAAAAGTTGGGCATCTCTCTGGGATCTTTTAATGGAGCATGGAAGAAGAACACGCATGATCTGTTGGGGCATCATAGCATCATCTCTAATGTCTTCTTGTTACATAAGGTTTGATATCTTTCTTTAAGGCTGTAACCATTTATGTGCTGTGACATATGTTTCGTTTTTCTTCCTAGTGATTGCTCTCTGTCCTAACAATACTCAAGTTCATATATCTATCAATCATTATCTCTACACCAGTCGGAGATGTTAAACGGATGCTAAAACTGTTTGTATTTGCTATTATATATGAGCAAGAGAATAACTGGTACGTTCTTCTTCTGCTCCTAGTTCTCAGCATTACTAGTTATGGATTTTTCTTTGGGATGTTTCCTAGTAATGGTGTTGTTGGTGTATGTAAATGGTATTGTCTTGTGTAAATATCAACCTCCAAAATCTAGTAATCTTCGAAATCATGGTTGCTGGTATGCTTTTCCTGTTGTTGTTCTCTCTGATTTGTCTGTTTTTCTTCTAGCAACGACATCGACAGATGGAAACTGTCGGGTATTTTCAACATTCATCAAAGGAGTTGACACAAAGTATGCTCCTTACGTGAACATCTATCTTCTTTTAAAACATTTTTGCAAACATGGGGCTGTTTCAAAAGCAGGCTCACCAGCGGAAACTAAATTTGGGGAGGTTTGATTTGTTTGGCAGCCTCTCCTTCTCTTAGTAAATATTATAATGCTTATGCCATATATCTGTTACCTCTACTCCCTCATCTTATGTTAGAGAGCTTTTTTTATGTTAGTAAAGTCTTCAGCTTGATCTCTCATATTCTTGGACGTTTGCTGTGGAATGGTCTCCTAGTGGAAACACCTTAGCATATGTAGCTCAGAATATCCTTCAGACTTGAGATGTTTGTCCATTGCGCCTTACTGAAATAATACAATGGAACTTCAACTTGGTTGGATTATTTTTACTACCCTCTGTGAGCAGAGGAGGGGGCCCTAAAGTAATGCGATTCAGCACTTCAGGTCAGTCACTAGATTAAAATTCATATAACCCTTCATGGAATCGGCCGATTCTATTCCCTAAAATGACTGTTTCATTGCTCGCATATCGGTTTATTATTTATTTATAGGATTGGATGGCAAAATAGCCATATGGGATCTGGAGAACATGCAACAAGAACTTGGCAGTCAGTTTAAATAACACAGAAATAAAACAAATCTGGCTAGTAAGGTTACTTGATTAGTATACAATTTCATTGTTACACTTCGTAAACTATAATAAATCTAGCAAATCTACCAGATGAACAGATGAACAGATAAATCTAGCTTCTGGTTATCACATCTAGCAAATCTACCAGATGAACAGATGAACGATCTTCCCTTTTGCGATCTACCACTTGTCCACATCGAGACATGTGTATTTATATATTATTTCAGTCAGGTTACGATTAGTTATTGAAATTGGCACATTATTGAATGGGGAGGGATTGGCTTACATCAACAGAAGCACGTATCATAGCAAGTTCTTCAGGAGTTAGAAAACTTGACCACTAGTGTGTGCCTACAGGAAGCAGCAAGGTGATTTATTAATCACAGATTCCATCTTGATCTTGCATCCCCGGGGTACAACTAGGCCGCAAGTGTGAGCTTCGAAACAAAATCTGATCGTGGATTTTTCTCTGCGGACGTGATGTTCAGGGAAAAAATTATCTATATAGTCTGCAATCTCTGAGACATTGTGCTTTTGCTGAAAATTTCACAATATGCTTGTAAGCAAATGCAAAAAACAAGCTGTCTGTCCCAAGAGTTATTGAGATTTAGTCATTCTCAGCCTATAATGTTCTTATTGGGTGTCACTGAAGAGAATCTGATAAAACCTTTTTCTCTCTTCTGGATCGAACAGACCACCTGGTCGATCCCCATGGTTTTCTTCTTCATCGACATCATCTCCATCGTGATTCCTGTCTTTCTTTCGCACCACAGGCTTCAAAGATTCAATACCTTTCTCTCTCTTCTTCTCTAGATTAGCCAAATATCGCCTGTGATTATACTCATACAAGCCCTGCTGCATCAGTTCCCCAAATTTTTCCTTCACAACAACAAGCGGGTCCTTGTGAATCAATTCCGAGCCATTGTATCCTTCTCTAAGGATCACAGTGTGAACCTGATACTTGTTTGCGACGTAGAATATGCCTGGATGCTTCAGAAGCATAGCATTTAGCTTCTCCGGCAACCCAAATTCCCTCTTGAAATGACTCAGCTTTACGATTGACAGCTTCTTCCACAACGTTAGCGAGAGTAACTCGTGCACCAAACCAACGCTTCTCTTCTCACTCTCCTGTGAACCCTCAACAAGATCCCCATGATCCTCATATGGAGATATGTAAGGAAAGGCATTAAACTCCATAAACCTCTCCCACGGTTTGGTCCATGTGGAAGGTAAAGAGCAAGAGAAACTAGGCTCAGAGCCACAATTCTTCGCTGCTGCTTCCACTGCAGAAACAGCCAACTCAGGCTTCCACAACAAAAGCTCGATCTCCATTGAACTCTTCCTCCCACTATAATTCACTAATCGAAACACATCTGAGTACTTTGGTAGTATCCTGATCACATAATCATCAGGGAATCCAAAACTCCGCTTAAACTCGTTAAGCTTCACGACATTAAGGCGCTGATTAACACTCATCATAAGCAGCTTTGCAAGCCTGTCTGCAAGCACAGGCTCTTGTGTATCTTTGACCAATTCTTCTTCTTCCACAAGCGTCATCATCGGTTTCGTTAACCGACAGTAATACTCATCGTTCTCGAGATAAAGGTGGAAACAACAAGGGTACTTCTTAAGCCAATTCAAGGCTTTCCCCTGTAGATCAAGAGTCTTAAACTTCTTCTGTAGAAACTTAACCGATGCAACCTGGTTGGGACACCTTAAGATAATGTTCTTGAGCCGACTGTTAACTATCCATCGCTTGTTACGCGAGAGAGCAGATTCGAGATCAGGGTCTTTCTTCGTAGACCAAAGTGAGAATCTTCGGATTAACAATGGAACATACTTGGTGCCCAGAATTCCATATAACTCTCGTGTCATAGCCATATCAGTGTCTGATTACCAAACCTAATCAAAGCTTCAATCTTAGATATTGGCAAGTATTACTCAAACTCAAACTCCAATTATTGACGAATGCGATTGGTTAGAAGCAAAAGGAAATAGAAAAGTCCTCACCTTTAGAGTATGATTGGAGCAGAAAGGAGAAGCCTTTGAAGTCGATTCATCAATAACGCCACAGTTTTGACGAGAGGTAAAGAAGAGATTTTGATTCTGCAAGATTAGTTGGGTTATATATATATCAGAGATTCTAAGGAACAAATTTTATGCCCTAACTCTGCAGCGAAGAGACTTGAGGCAGAGCAGAGAGACTGAAAGTGAAAGCTTTCTTCTTTCTAGACTTTGTTGGGTTTAGTGTGTACTCAATTTTGGATTATGATAATCACATTGTTTCAACCATTTAGTTTAGGTTTGTGGAATGGGTTTAATCATTTAGGCTTGCAAATTTCGAACTATTAACTTATAATCCAATTCCACAGCTTACAAATCGATTTGTTGAACAACAACTCAAACGTATGAAGAAAATCAAAGTTTCAAGTCATGTATATTCAAACTTCAAAGGGTCAACTCGAAAGCAAACAAATACAAATCATAAACACACTAAAAACTCAACTTTTAAGACCTATTTTTTTATACAAAAAATCAAAACAAACAAATGAAGTATTGCAGTGAGTGTCACAAACAACACTGTACAACCCCACACAAGCCTATTCTTTATCTTTATGTAAACGCAAACTCTGCAACCACGCCTGCTACCGCTTGCCATTGGCCTTTGGTTGAAATATTTGCACCAGAGACCACAAAATGTCCATCCTCTGCATTACTTTGCTGTTTTGGCTCTGCCATTCATATATCACCATGTCAGATGTTAGTCACTCATATATATTTATACTAATCCAAAGTTCAAACAAAAACCAAGAAAAGAACTTTGATTTGCTTTGGAATCTCTTTCAAGAATTGGGTAAATTACCTCAGTTACAAAGCATATCAATGTTTTCTCGCCCTGAGTCTCTGTGATTCCTCTTAAGATGATGAGGTCTAAGCTCCTAATCACGTTTGCTATCTCAAGAAAATGGCTACATTCTTCACATAACATCTGTCCAATACCCAAAAATACTTTCAATCTAAGACTTAGATACACACAGCAGGTTGCACAAAGAGAAAAGAAAAAAAAAAAAGATACACACCAGCAGAACTTGGGACTCGAGTTCAAACAAAGCTAAACTAAACAAAAGAAAAAAAAACAAAGAGTAAGATTACATACCTCGATGAGCACCATCCCCTGCTTGTTCAGATTCTCCACGATGATCGAGCATACTTGAAGATGGCCTCCAACCTCCACTGCGCAGCTTGAACCTTGCATACCAGTTTCCTTTTGTTGCATCTGAGATTACAAAGGTATAAGCTAATTTTGATATTTACTTCTGATTTTCAGTTGAGTTTTTCTATATATCTCCTGCCCATCCTATCTTCTCATTAAAGGATTCAGAAATTTGACCCAATATTTGCTACATCATTCTATCAAACATAACAAACTGCTTAATATGTTCGTTTACAAACTACGGAGGCTGGAATAAAAATTTCTACGATAGAACAGAGATTGTTAGTATCAAGAAAGCTGACTTTTTTTACCTTTGCATTAGCACTTTTACTGAGCTTGTCAGCATGCTTAGTAACATTCTGCAAAAAGAGCATGTGCTTGATCGTGCGTTCGAGCAAAGAATCAATACTGCACTGTAAATATGACAACAATATTAGCGAATGACAAAAACATATTACAACTGAAAATCACTACAATGATGCACAAGTAACCTTGTAGCTAGTAAGAGAAAAGTCACCTTAGCTCCATTAGGTACAAGTTCTCTAAGTTCCTTGATTCGATCCTGAATGAGTTGTCTGTCTCTTGGGCGAGGTCGAGAACTTTCACCAGGCTTGGCTCTCTTTTTGTTCTTCTTGGGCATGTCCAGGGATGTCTGAAACTGATCACTAGAGGAGCTGGGATACGTAGATGAGAACCCAATCGAAGAAAATGCTCCACAGATATCTGATGAATTTTGTTGGATATCCACCTCTGCAAGTGGTAGCTGATTCATAGCACTATCAATTGGGTAAACAATATTATGCTTCTTTTGACCTGAGGGTTCTGCAAGTTCCATGCTGGTAAGCAATGATTGTACCGATCTGCTCGACAACATATCATCCCTGGAATTACCATCGCTTTGACACACATTAGCAACCACAGCATCTAGAAGATTCTCAGGGCCAGAGTCAAATGTCAGCTGGCTATGACTCATATCATCTGTTGGTCTCATTGTTGAACCATGTTCAGACTTCAGTAGCTCCTCCTGACCAGTGCTCGCTTGCTTGAAAGCAGAGCCTAATGCCTCTAGTAGCTCGCTGCCACCAAAAGTATAACCAGATGACATCAAAGCATCAAATCGACTAGACTCGCAGTTCCTCCCCAGCATACGGTCAGTCTCTTTTATGTGTTTATTTCCGTGGTTCTCCGATAGTTGGAATACTTCGTTTTGATAAGAACTTTCTTTATCTGTTCTCGACATAGCCTGAAGAGTTGAGTCCAGGCCTGGATATGATTGGCCTGTTATCAATCTTTCAGCCTCAATTGCTAAAGAAGATGAGCTTGTATTATTGAGCACATGATTCTTCATATACTTATGAAAATTAGGATCTAATCCTCTTGGATCTTTGCAGCCACTAGTCATTCCCACATGAGGTGCATCACTGATTATATTTGTACCTACTTGATTCTCATGTTTGGCACCAACCAAGTCAACTGGAAAGCCACACGTAACACCGCTATAGCTCCCACACGTAGATCCTTGCACCACTTCACGACCACCAACAACTTGAGCTGTCTTCTCCAAGACAAGACATGACGAAGGAGTATTGTAAGGCATGCTATGACTTCTTCTAGTTTTGTATTGAGTTAAGATATTGGATTCTTCCACATCCATAGCTTTGTCAACTTCTCCAGAGCAATCAGGGAAAGCCTCGGCATGGAAGCCTTCAGAAGGCATATTTGGCTGCAATAATATTATACAACACATCATGGTCTACTCAGGAAGTCAGTGGAGGTTTGAGGAATTGTTAGAAGAACCCTACGCACTTTACTCTCCCCATTTTGCAAATAACAAGAAATCTGGAGAAACATGAATCCATATTTGAATGAAGAAGATCTTTACCAGACATAACGAATTGTTCATATTACATTGCATTAAATTTGCTGCATGATCTGCCAAGGGATCCCTAAGTGCCAGAAATAAATGTCGGATATGATTCACCAAATTCACATCTTCATTAACCTGCACCAAACAAGTACACAATAAGACCAGATACGTTCATATTCTCCATGCAGACGTGCGCAGGCTTTTGCCTGGCTATTATTTTGTAACTACAAACACTGTATCCAATTTTAAGACCTTACTTACTTTACACAAAGAGCCTAGCTGCACTACTCCATATCGACCAACAGCTACTACAAGAATGGTCTGCGGAGAAGGAAGAACAGATATTTTAAGAAGGGAAGTCTCCAATGGCAAACTTTGAGGAAGTTCTTGACATGCATGTAATAAAGCAAACAAAAAGAACACTAAAGAAAAATCTCAAATACCTTAATTCCAGCAGAAATTTGACTCTCCCAAACGTTATGAAACTGTAATTAAAAAAAGATATCTTGTTTAAAAACACAAAGAAACAAAATTCAATTTAAGATAGGATGTTCCTAACCTCAAATGCTGAGTGACAGTTGTCATGATTTTCAGAAAATACCCATTGGTGTTCTCCAGAAACTGCGACTTGTCCTACAATCCTGTTTATATAGACATAATTCAATAAGAACCCCAAGATTTCTAACTAAGGTAAAAGCTCCTGCTGGCATCAAGTCGCAAGATACAACAAAAGGTTTGCATTATGCAGCTAATGTCAAAGAAAAAAAGAAGGAAAAAGGGCACATCAAACTATAACTGCCAATTTCCAGACAGTGTCATACGCTGCTGATCAAAAGAAACCCAGCATTTGAATTTGTCGAAGATAACCATGAACACCTAGTTGAAAAGATGAAGTCGAGAAAGAGGGCATCAGAAAGCAATATATTCTTACCCTTCCCCTAGAGAATAGACATGATAAGACATCTTTGCCACAGCTAACCCAAGGCGGTCATGTGCTCCATGAATATTCGTCCCATGATGGTCATAGTAAGCATCCCCCAAGGTAAGTACCCTACAGATGTTCAATGTTCTAAAAAATGAGAAACTATCTGGTCAACTAAACTCTAAAACATATAAAGAAATAGAATCCTTAATTGCACACAAAACTCAAAAGTACAGAAACAGTCTTCAGATACTTAAACTAAGATTGCTAACATAAAGCTGCATCCAATATAAAGTTCCATATTTCCACACTAGCAAGTTGGAGTCAATACACCAAAATCAATAACCACAGTTCGTAGACAATTATAATGGTCCACCAAGCAAAGACAGTAAAGAGAATTGTTTAGATGACTCACATTCTAGATCCTCGGTGTTTAAGTTGCCAGAACACAGCATAGTTCCAGTCCGTGTTAGAGCAAAAGCTCCTCAGTATCTCTTGAGAAGTAGAACCCATTCTAAAGGGCAAAACCAAAACCCCCTTCTAGTGGTAAGCCAAATCAAGAACGACAAATCAAAACAGACAGAAAGTTTTTTTGATTCTTGACAAAATTTGTGTCCGAAGGAAGAAAACCAAAACCTATTTTTGAACACTATATCCTCCCCAACCTCTAAAAAAAGATTGTCCTTTTCGATGAGATACAAAGTAACTAACTACCTCTGTAAGAACCTCTTCCAGCTTGTTCCCTTCGTAAACCAGCTCTTGGTTTTATGGGCGGACCTACTTCATCTTGTGATATTTGCCTCTTACCCATCCCTCCCCAAGATACAAACTTTGATTCGGATTACGCAAAAAAAGGAAACTAATTTAACCCTAGCTCAAACAAAAACACCGAGAGAATCAGAATTTGAAACAGCTGGAAACAGAGATAGATCTGCTGCAACTACTACTACTCGCCATCTGAGAAATCAAGATTGAAAATCGAAAGCTAAGGAAGAAGAAGAAGAAGAAGACAGTGGAAAAGAAAGCAGAGAGATTGTACGAAAGAAGAGACTTTAGCTTATGTCAGAAGACATTGATTAACTTCAAGAATTGATCTCAGCATACTCTGCATCACTCAGAAAAATCTTACAATCTCAGCCGAGGAATTCGCCGGAAAAAGGAAAGAACCGAGAGAAAGAGAGAGATGGTGGTATAAAGGAGGTGTAGAGGAAAGCTAAAAGACGTTCCTTTTTTTAAAGGGTGAAGAAGAAATCGAGAGGAAGCGGGCGAGTCACGCACCATGCTCATTTTAGCAACGAAATAAGAAGGATCGGTGTGCGCATGTTAGCAATCTTTGGTAGTGGGATGGTGAGTGTGTTTTGAGGGTATGTGGATTTTATAAAAGAAGGAGATATGCAGTCTCTCTCTCTCTATCTCGATTCTAATAGTGTGTGTAAAATGGCCAGCAAAATGATTCACCAACTGAAATTCTTGCTTCCTTCTTACTTTCTTTTTTACCTTTCATTCTCATTTATCACAAATTAACAAAATATTACACATTTCTCTAATTTTGTTTTGAGTTAATATAAACATCACAATCTTTTTGTAAAAAACTATTTTTCTAGTGTATGTTTTCTTTTTTTCGTATTCTTTTACAAAGATGAAATTAACTACGATTATAATTATTTTAATCGGATGTCCAAACATGAAATAATCAAATAAAGTTCGAGTACTTTCGACCATTTTGGTGGCCTTCTAGATGTCTATGTGACCGATTTTTAGAATGTTATATGTTTTATATCATAAAATTATTTACTAGTTCATTTCAGTAAATAATTAAATAATTGAACCTACTAAACCAAAATTTTGTTCGGTTATTTTGGACACAATTATCACTAACTGAAGTAGATGATTAACTGAATTACCTGACTCTAATTACCCGAATTTGCAGACCTAGTTTAGATGGTAGATGATAGATGTTAGATGGTTTAGATTGCAAATTTCATATTAATGTTCCTTCTAATTTCATAAAATAAAATTATCTGAAATGATTACGGTGTCCAAGAAAAACCAATAACTTCAAATTTTTGTTTTATTTTTTTGCAATGAATTTGAGGATATTCAGCTTTTAAAAAAAATATGATTTCATTTGCCAATATAAAGGTGAAACATATTGGACTTTATAACTTGTCCATACATATTCCACAAAATGATTAAATATATCGCTTCTTTTTATTTCCCTTTTTGTATTGTCAACAAAAATCCAATGTCTTTTTCATACTCACTCATTTTGTCTTGCTTACCATAATCATCCTTGGACAAAGCAAATTCACATCGAATAATTTATGTGCTGGCCTATGCTATTTTTGGTTGCGGGTCCGTTATATAACCAAAATCACATAACTAATTATCAAGAATTTTCGTCAAAACTTAAAATCACCTTTAAATTGAAATATTGATTACTTATTTTTTGTAAAATTTAGACGCAAGTTAAACAGCAGAGAACATCCAATGCTTAGAGTAGGATGTTCAATCCAAATAAACCAAGCCGGCTCAATCTAACACCGAACCGAAAACAACTAATTCAACAAGCAAACGAAACCTTAATGTGACTATGTTCTATATTTTAGTCATTCAATCAACCGAGACCAAATCTGATCCAAATCAAATATCTATATATATATATATTTTTGGATCACAATTAGCAAATAAATCCTGAAGTTGAGAAGTATTTACAATGACATGCCATTAGCATTAATTATTTAGATTTGTTTTATTTAAGTAAAGATTTTTATTTGAAATTTATTTCTCATATATTTAGCAAAAGTCTCTACAAAATCTTTCCTTATCTATTTAAGTAAAGATTTTGAAATCAAATATGTTCTCAACAATTTACCAAAAATCTCTACACAATCTTTTTAAAAATTTCGACTTAGTTAACTTCTGATTTTTATCTGCAAAAAAAAAAATTAATTGTAACGAGTGATGTAAAAATCGGGAATGTTGATACTACAATTTCTTCTACTTCTTTTTTTTCATATAATGAAAATTATTTTTTAGGGATATTTTCTTAAAACCCCTAAACAAAACAAAGGGTTTCAAACGATAGCTTCTCTTTTGGCGGGTCTACCCGCAAACCCGTAACTCTCTACGGGCTTATCCGCATGAACCTGCGACCCGTAGTGCATAAAAATATTATTCAAAAAAAATAACAAATGATGTTTAATTTTACGGGACGGGGTTATATGGTGCAACGGGTCTGGATCAATATTAATATTAAACAATATACTATGGATGAAATCCTAGAATTAAAAATCAAAATTTAATTATAAAATCAGAAACACTAAACAAAATAACAATATTAACAAAACAAATACAACTTAAAATTTTGCAAAATAATTTTTTAGTTATAAAAAAATCGACTAGCGGTGTACCGCGGGGTAAAATCTAGATTTGGAAGTTTAAGGAAGAAAAATATTTTTTAAAAATAATAGCTCCGCGGTGTACCGCAAGAAAAATCTTTCTCCTAAACTAAGGCAAGAAGAAGAAGAAAGTCAAATGTCGTTTAAGTGTATATATAGATATACCATTTAAACCTAAAACACAATTAATATACTCAAAACTATTAATATAGATATATGGATGGTACATTTATAAAATAGGTCGAAATATTATATTATACTCTCTATTAATAAACAAAACTAATTATATTTAGATTTTTTTTTAAAAAATTATAGCCCCGCGGTGTACCGCGGGTTCAAATCTAGTGTAAAATATAAAACTAAAACGTTTTTAAAACAGAAAGATATAGGTAATTGAATCATAACCAAAATTGAAATCGCATCAAACCACTTTTAGTCAGAATTTGTTTTTAGATATATAACTTGGAAAAAATTAACTTTTAAAACTAACCAAAATTTATTTTAAAATAGTTTGAAGCTAAATTTTTCAAGTGTATGAGTATTTCTGCAAAAAGAAAAAAAAAATAGTAAATACAAATGACCACCTAGAACATTTCCTAGTCCTAGTTATTTTTTAGATGTTGGTATTTCCCCTTTGGATCCACCCTGTGTAAGTACATGTATCTTGGCAATTCACAAGTACTGTTTTATGTCGACCATTTGGTAAGTTCATTAAGAAACCAAGGGTTGAGAGTAATTTGAAATGTGTATAATCTGATTTTGAGTTCCACTTAGAAATTAAAAATGATGATGTTTTACAATTGATTGCTCATAATATTCTATCTGGAGGCTCTTGTATATGCTCTCATGACTTGTTCCCATCAATGTGTTCTAATGCAACGCACCAACTCAACATCTCTTTCCCCCTTTTCATCATTTTTATCTTTTACTTCTTTAGCTGAAATTCAATTAATATCCTATATAAATTTATTATCCCTCATTTTTAATCATATTTTTTCCTGCTTTATTTCAGTTATTTCCATTTTAAAATTTTAAATCTTGGAAAATTATTCTAAACTATCTTTTAAGACATACAATTAGACAAAAGTATAAATTATATTGCATCATTAGGTTATATATACATGGATAATTTTTTGTTAAATATTCATGACATTATCGCCTTTGGAGTATGTCACTGAGATTTGAGATTGCTAAAGACTTTTTTTTTTCACTTAGGCGCTACCGTCCATTTATGATCTTTTTCCTTTAAGCCAATATCACACTTAATTTTGCGAGTTCTTTGTTTTTAATATGTTTATATTTTAACATTTCATAATAAATTAGAGAGATCAGTATCGGTTTGGATGATGAATGACTTTGTTCAATTTCTTCATTTTGTGCGTAAGAAAATATTATTTTGCTAAGAAATGTGATTTCAGAGTGTTTATATTTTCTTAGAAAATTTTTTTAGAGAACCTACAAAATAATAGATAAAAGGATACAGGTGCACTTTTGTTGAATATTCATAATTTTCTATTCCACCGAAAATTATAGTAATTGATTTCTATATGTTTCCGAAAGTTAGCATTAATTAGATCAAAGCATGCCTGTATCAAATTGTTTCAATGTCTTTTAAATGAAAGAGCTTTGATAATAATGTTTTAGTGGACAACGTTTGAACTATAATGACTTGGTCCGTAACCGATAAGCCATGCAACTAATTCCTTTAATTATTTATTTGGTAATGAATTAAAAGAAATACATTTGGTTTTAAGTGCTTGTTATTCTTTTTTTTTTTGTCAACCACAGTGTTTGCTATTCTGTTCAATACTTTTTGTAAAAAAAAGATGTCTCACAAGGCTTCGTAATTTTAAGGGCATGACTTATATCTATTTTAGAGAATTTGTCTTTCATAAAAGTAAAGTCAAACAATTCTTTTCTCTACTAAACGCTCCAATTATGTATGGTAAATTAACTGGTTTATTAGTTTTGTAAAATATTGAATATCAATGCATTTTTGTAGAATTATATCACATAGTTTACAGAAGAAAAAAAACTATAAATTACTGCAATAATAATTATGGTTTTAAGTTTTCAACAATATTCCAAAGATAAATACATGAAGGTGGGATATTAATATTCTTTGAGAAAGAAACGAATCTTAAAAATAGATTCCAAAGTTAGGGTTTTGAAGGTTTCTCCAAAAAGGAGTTGGGTCAGAAATTGCTTAAAAGACTGGCAAAGGTCTCTCTTTTTATTATTTTTCTTTTTAAAATTTTAATTTATTATTATCTCTCTATTTTTTTCTTCTTTAATAAAATATTTTTTTATTTAGTACAGTATATTACTGTTTGGGAAAGGCTTTTTCAAAGGAAAACAATGAGACTTAGGAATATATGATGGGACTAGTTGTGGTCCATACAAGATCTAAGAAATCTAATAATTATTGTCCTTTATAAAGAAAAAAAAGAGGAAATCTCACTCGATCTCTTATATACAAAATTCCATTTTTTCTTCTTCTTCTGATATATTCTTTTTGGCTCATTGGCCATGAAAATCCAAAACCTACCTCACTAGTAAGTGATATCTTCCATTTTTGTTTCTTGATGTATTTTATGGCTCTCTTTTTAATTTATTATTTTTTGTTTGTAGTTTTACTTATTTCATTGATCATCATAGGTTGTTTATAGTCAGGTCCGGCTTAGCACATGTGTTAGGAGTGCTAGAGCACAAGGTCCTAGGGTCCAATTTTTTTTTCTTTTTTTTTTTCATTTTTTTTTCATTTTTTATCATACAAAAATCCTAATTTTTTTTACAAAATAACCAACTAAAAAAAAAATTATACCTTAAAAATCCCAAATTTTGTTAAAAACAATATGAAAAGATCCAAGTTTAAGAAAATAACATTTCTATAATTAAAAACCACAATTATTTGAAAAAAAATTTGGCAAAAATAGGCAAAAAAAAAAATTGTCTAAGGGCCTTAATTTTTTTGGGACAGGTCTAGCACCGGGTCTCGCCAATAATTGAGTCGGGCCTGTTTATAGTATTATGTTAATCATGTGTATTGATGGCATGGAACAAAGTAAAATGAAGCTTTTTAAGTTGTAACAATTAAGATGACTTAGAGAGTCAATAAAGATGACCGGCCTATAGCTGTTAATAGTGAGAATAGCTTGTATTAAATTGTTAATCTAGAACTCAAGAATCATTAGTCGTAAATAAAGAATATAAACTTAAACGAAGATTAATGAAAGAAAGAAAATTGCTTAATTTTTAAAGCCCAATAACTAACCCAAAACTATCATTCTAGGATTTAACATGTTAGCATTGTTCTGTTAAGCTTTCTGATACAAAAACTAATGATAAAATGACTCCTTATTAATATAGAAATCAGAAATGACATAATGGTCGAAAATAGATTAACACACCCTCCTAAGTAGTTTGGCCGTGTTCTTTTCACTGTCGTTAGCGACTAAAAAATTAACACTGAGATTTTGATAGGTTTTAAATCCAGCGATCAATTAGCTTTGACAGAGATGATAAACAGTGACGACAGTGTCGTTCAAAACAATCGCCAGAAAAAGTAACGTAGTATAATCGCAGCCAATGGAACCGCGATCTCAAGAAAGCGGTGAAGCCATCTCTTGCTTGTTTTCTTCTTCTAGACGGGATCGAATTGTTAGGGGAGATGCCAATTTGTTTATGCTGCACATTAAAGATATTTACATGAGTAATCGAAAATCGAAAAACCCGAAAAAAGTTTGTCAAGTATGTATATGATGTTAAACTCACAATACTAGTAAATCTTCGCTTGATGATCTTTTTTCAGACATCCATTCCGGGACAAGCTCCTGCATTAGGATCAGTTGTTCTTCAACTTCTTCTGCAAAATGGAAGTGAATTAAGAACGGTTAGGATGGGTTTAAAACACCGAAAATCTATGTAAATGAAAGATATATTGAGATAATTCGCGGTTAGAGGGCTTACTTCTGTCGGTAATATCAGAATGACCGGCGATTATCTTATGCACAAGCTCTTCTTTTGTGATTACCCAACGCCTTATCGATTGAATTATGTAATGGATGACATCGAAAAGTTTAGGTAGACAAGCGATCATCTCTCGCCTTCTCTTTGCCAGTGAGATTGCTGGATTTTGATCCTCATTTGTTTTCATCTCTTGATCTTTTATCTGAAATGAGCAAAAAGAAGATGAATTATCTCAGTATGGAAAGCTAATCTCAGTTTGTCCCTTTTAATCTCAAACTGAAAAGTATAATGTAATCACGAGAACATATGGAATATTACCGATTGTCGAAGCTTATCAGGAAGCATGCTGAGGATTTCTTCATCATTACTGGATACATCTTCTGGTACTTGAACAATGGTCTGATCAACTGTCACATCCATAGCTTTCTTGTCCTCAGAACAAGAATCAAAGTTCAGCAACAAGGAACGCCTCACAAGCTTAACCGGTGGGTCAGCAGAAACATCATCTGGATTTGTAGAACCACTACTTCTTTTCTGCGAGCGAGCTTCCTGTGAAGTACTAAACAGCCGGACAGGAGTTGAAGCAAATTCAGGTGGAGTCGAAGCAACAACAACTGGTGTTGAGTCAATTTTAGCAGGCGTTGAATGTACGATGTTAAACTCTGATGGAGTCGATGTGATGGGAGATGAAATCAATTTAGCTACTGGAATAGAAGCCATCTCTTCCATGACAGAACTAACACACCCAACCTCAACTTCTGAGTTTTCATTTGGTTTCCTTGTATTAAATAGCTCAGGAAGCGGTTCCTCTGGAACTTCATCACCCTAAAACAGATAATACACACCATTAGTACCTGAACTAAATCACACAAAGGAACTACCATATCGAAAAAAGAACGGATTTTTGCATCATAGAGCATCATCATACCTGAGGATGAGTTTTAACAAACTCTGCAAGTCTTGCCCTGAACACTTTCCGGAGATTGATTCTCTTACTTTCCGATATCGACTTGTCATCGTATACAACTGCATCGGCGTTGAGTGAAACATGAAGATCTGGTTTCATACAGCAAGTTGTTTCATCATGTATCAATACTCTCTTAATCTCGATCGCTTCAGGCAATATATGCTTTAGTTGAGCCAAGTGACTGTAGCAAAAACTCCTGAATAATTGCATATATTCAAACCAAAATTAGATACACAACTCTAAGAAACCGATTCGTGAAATTGAATCTCTCAGAACTAGCTACAAGAGTTATTGGTGAATCCATCAAAAACCCAGATCTTAGCTATTCTAATTGAACCTATCAGATCAGATTCCAGATTCAAAAATTGAAAATTTTCAGGATTAATACCTTTGGGTTAAATGCTCGATTATCTTCGAAATGTTGGAAAATGTCGGCTTAGAACCTCTCAATTTTGATAATAGGATCGAACTATCCAACGCATCGAAGAATTTACCCAGAGTAGGGCTCTCCGGCGGCTTCTCCGGCGTGGGCAAGGATACAGAAGACAGATTAGGGCTTCCGATTTGCGATTTTGAACATGGAGAATCCATCGATAATCGTTTCTTCGATTTGAATCTAGAAGACTCCGGTGCACTCATTTTTTCAGCAATGTCTGTAGCGAGTGTCAGATGCAGAGAGGAGAGAGATGGAGAAGACGATGAAGACGACGAAGAAGAAGAAGAAGAAGAACAAGGGTTTAGATTTATTTCGGTCTTTGGCGCGCAATCCTACGTGTACCAAAGCCACGTATGCCTCCCGCACCTATTAATAGGGGTGAGACCAATTATCCGGGATCCGGGATCCGGGATCCGATCCGGGATCCGCTCCGATCCGCTCCGAAAAATAGGATATCCGGGTGGGGCGGATCCGGATCCGGATAATGAAAAAGCGGATCCGGCCGGATCCGGATCCGGATCCGGATAATAGAAAATTTAAAGCCGGATATCCGGATCCGGGATATTTTATATAATAATAATATTTTTTAATATTTTATTACTATTATTTAAATTTTATTAATAAATTCTATTATTTTATATAAGAATAATATTTTTTAATAATATTTTTAATTATTTATATTAAATTATTTGTTTTTAAATATTTTTCTTGAAATTTTATATTAATAAAAAAAATTATATAAAAAAAACCCGGATCCGGATATCCGGCTCTTTTTACAGATATCCGAAATCCGGATATCCGGGTGGAACGGATCCGGATCCGGATAATGAAAAGGCGGATCCGGCCGGATCCGGATCCGGATCCGGATACCCTAAAAAAGCCGGATATCCGGATCCGGCCCAGCCCTACCTATTAACCCGTTGCTTCCCGCGAAAACATTATCCCCGAAGAAGCCCATTAATTAAGCCCATTATGATGCCTCCGAACATGGCATGACCACGGTTACGGTTATTACGGTTACGGTTTATTAACCTCCGATTACAGTTATAAAATTTCTCTAACCGTAACCTTAACCGTTATACATACGGTTAAAACAGTTACAGTTGCAACAGTTACGGTTGCAACGGTTACGGTTAAATACGGTTACAAATATTTAATTATTACGATACGGTTAATATCAAAGACAAAAGCTTATGTATTTTTAACTTTTGGAATAAAAATTTTAACTTTTGGAGTCGATTCTCTTAGTTAAATGGGACGGAAGCTCCAAACGGCATGGCCAATATCTGTTTGGAGCTTTGGGAGAGGAATACGAAGTGGTAGGATACAAACGCAAATCGAAGAACATCAATGCTAACATGTATATATAAAAATGCAAACAGATATAGGAGAACGCAGGAAAGTTTTATTCAAATACAGAACATAATCAGAAAGAGAATTGTCATCAAGGATTTAGGTATGTCAGCCTTGTTCTAGTAAGAATTATGTTACAAAATGCATAAAATGAATCTTTATTGATAGAGAAATAACTTAATGGTCAAAATTTGAAAATAGATAAAAACACCTTTCTAAATAGTTTTCAACCTTATACATTTCCGTACTAAAGAGTTTTATACCTAGTCTCTACACATTTGTCTCATGAATAGACTAACATATTTGGCAGTCCAAAAAGAGTTAGAAACCGAAGTAACCACAGGCCGATGGAACCAAGACCTCAAGAAACCAGTGGAGCCATCTCTTGCTTGTTTTCTTCTTCAAGACGTGATCGGATTGTTATGGGAGATGCCAATTTGTTTATGCTGCACATTAAAGATGCTTACATGAGCAATCGAAAACCAAGAAAAAGTGAGTTAAGATAAGTATGTGTGTGATTTTAGACTCACCATACTAGCACATCTCCACTTGATGATTTTTTCTCAGACATCCATTCCGGGACAAGTTCTTGCAGTAAGATAAGTTGTTCTTCAACTTCCTCTGAAAAACACAAGTGAGAAGAGAACAGTTAGGATGGTTTTCAAACGGTCTAAAGAAAAGTTATACTGAGATACTTAGCGGTTAGAGGGCTTACTTCTGTCAGTAATATCAGAATGGCCAGCGATGATCTTGTGCACAAGCTCTTCTTTTGTGATTACCCAACGCCTTATCGATTGAATTAAGTAATGGATGACATTGAAAAGTTTGGGTAGACAAGCGATCATCTTTCGCCTTCTTTTTGCCAGAGAGATTGCTGGGTTTCGGTCCTCAATCGCTTTCCTCTCTTGTTCTTTTATCTGAAATGAGCAGAAAGAGGATCAACTATCTCAGTAAGCAAAGCTAATCTCAGTTTGTACTTCTTAATCTCAAACTAAAAAGTATAAAGTAATTACGAGAAGAAAAAGAATCACTAATAGAGATGTATTACCGCATGTCGAAGTTTATCAGGAAGTATGCTGAGGATTTCATCATCACTGGATAATTCTTCTTCTGGTACTTGATCAATGGGTTCATCATCTGTGAAATCCACAGCTTTTTCATCCTCAGGATAAGAATCAAAGTTCAGAGACAAGGAACGCCTCACGAGCTTAGTCGGTGGGTCAGCAGAAATATCATCTGGATTTGAATGACCGCTGCTTCTTTTGAGCGGACGAGCTGCCAGAGACGTACTCAAGAGCCGGGCAGGAGTTGAAGCAAATTCAGGTGGAGTTGAAGCAGCAATGACTGGTGTTGAGTCAATTATAGCCGGTGTTGAAGGAATTTTAGCCAGAGTTGACACTAGTTTGACTGGAGTTGGCACAATGTCAATCTCAGACGAAGTCGGTTTAGCAGGAGTTGAAGTTGGTTTGCTTGGGGTTGGTGCAATGTTAATCTGAGACGAAGTTGGTTTGGCCGGACTTGAACTTGTTTTGACTGGAGTTGATGTGATGGGAGATGAAAACAATGTAGCTGCTGGAATAGAAGCCATCTCTTCCATGAGAGAACTAACACTCTTGACCTCAAATTTTGAGTTTTCATCTGGTTTCCTCCTATTGAATGGCTCAGGAAGCGGTTCCTCTGGAACTTCATCACCCTAAAACAGATAATAAACACCATTACTACCTGAACTAAAATTACACAAAAGTAATTACCATAACATTAAGAGAACGCATTTTTCGCATAATAATACCTGAGGGTGAGCTTTAACAAACTCTGCAAGTCTAGCCCGAAACACTTTCCGAAGAGCGATTTTCTTACTTTCGGATTTCGACTTGTCTTTGTATTCAACAGCATCGGCATTGAGGGTAATATGAAGGTCCGGTTTCATACAGCAAGTTCTTTCATCATGTATCAATACTCTCTTAATCTCGATCGCTTCTCGCAATATATGCTTTATTTGAGCCAAGTGACTATAACAAAACCTCCTGAAATATATTCACACCAGAATTAGATACACACACCAGAAACAGACTCGTGAATATCTAAAATCTAAAAAAGTTATCTGTGAAATCTATAAAACCCAGATCTAAAGTATTCTTTTGACTCATCGAACCTATAAAGTATAAAAGGCAAAGATCAAAAATGGTTTCTTTATTCAGATCAGATCCCATTAGTGACAACATAAACACGATCTAGATTATTATTTTGTCTCATCCAGTCTATAAAGTTTAAAGGCAATAACCAAATTTGGCATATTTATTCAGATCAGATCCAATTAGTGACAATCATACCTCTCGGTTAAATGCTCGATTTGTTTAGAAATGTTGGAAAATGTTGGTTTAGAACCTCTTAATTTCGATAATGAGATCGAATTATCCAATGCTTCAAAGAACTTTCCCAGATTCTCGTACCTGCACAAATCCAAATCCCAATCAGTAAAAAGGGGGAAAAAATTGAATTTTTTAAAAAACCCTAGAAATTAAACTTACTTCTCCGGAAGTTTCTCTTTCTCTGCATTTTTATTAGAGCTAACTCGTTTTGAAGGCGAAGAGGATGATGAATCGTTGTGAGAAAAAAAGAGCTTGCTTTTGGCAGATGAAGCAACCGGATCTTCAGATCTACGACGAGATCCAGCCGCTTGCCGAATCTCTTTCACTGATAAAGCCACAGATCGGTTTCTCGATCTACTAAGCATGTTCTCAAGCGGCTTCTCCGGCGTTGGTAAAGCTACAGAAGACGGATTTGAATTCCCGGTTTGAGATTTTGAAGACGGCGAATCCATCACTAACCGTTTCTTCGATTTGAATGGAATAGATCTAGAAGAACCTGGTGCACTCATTTTTTCAACAATGTCTATAGAGTGTCAGATGCAGAGAGGAGAGAGATGAAGAAGACGATGAAGACGAAGAAGAACAAGAACAAGGGTTTAGATTTATTTCGGTCTTTGGCGCGCAATCTTACGTGTACCAAAGCCACGTATGCCTCCCGCGCCTATTAACCCGTTGCTTCCCGCGAAAACATTTATCCACGAAGAAGCCCATTAATTAGGCCCATTATAAATTGCTGTCTCTGAACGAATCTGTAGATCAACAAAGATTCTTTGTTCAACTTGTAATTTTATATAAACATTTTAATAACTTTTGAGTTTGACTACTTAAAATACAACATGAACATGTTTATATGGTCTTCATGCAATGTTTATGCTAGTTCAGTATTTATAGATTCTTTGAAACAAATAATCAAAGATAATCATCATATGGAATCTTATCAACAATAGAATATAAGATAAAATAGTTTGCCCAGCAAATCAGATATAATCAATGGTTTAGTTTATGTTCTCTATGTTTCTCTTTCTAAACTTTGAATATATTTGCCACATCCCGAATTAAATAATTTTTAAATGATTCTAAGATTCTTTTCAATTGTCATTTCTATTATTTTATTACTAACAAAACTTCAAATAGTTTATTAAATGTAGATTTTCCGCTATTATTATTTCTATATATTTTAACTTATTTTTATTTAGGTTCGTCGTTTCTATTTTATTTTTATATAATATTTGTTAATTGAGAAAATCTATATAAAGTCATGAAATGAATATTATCACACAAAAAACACAATCATTGTTTATGTCAATATATGAAGTTTTGATGATTAGAATAATAAACACAAATTTCTATTTCTTTTATCGGCTTATCGTCTAATTCTCATAAGTAGTTGAGCAGAAAACATAATACCCTTAGCCGAAAACATATGATATAAAAAAACTTGTATGGAAATACACCAAATTGCAACGATCTCACCGCATTACATGAGTTTTACAAATTTATCTCTTTTTATGCTAAAATTACTAGAAATAAAAAGCATATAAATTCCAATTCATATGTATCAATTTTCATAATATTATATTCTGAATGGGAAGATTGGATACCAAAACTTTATTTACAGAATCTAATTTGGATTAATTATTGCCAATTCAAAACTCTCATGAGTTTTTTTTTTTTTTTTTTTTTATCTTTGATTAACATTAAAAATTTAAAGGAGCTAGATGATAAGATGAATCAATTTGGATTATCAAGTTTTATATTTAGTGAGTCAGTCTCAAGATCAAATAGTATGAGTCAGTAACCCATTGACATAAATTTTGGATCTAGATCAGATTCTTGATATCTAGTAATTTGGGTCTGTTTAGTTACTGGGCCGGTGCCCACTCAAAAATAATTGGCCCATCATACAAGTTGTTAAAAAAGTATATCACATTAAAAAAAATTACAATTTTTGGCTTCAAGACATTTTTTAATGTGTGAAAAGACTTTTGGCTTCAAGCTAATAAATGTTCTATTACCTTTTTAACCAAGGATCGAAGTAAATCATAGAACAAAAAAAAAGAGAGGAAGAGAACTCGTTATCACGTTTCTTAGGTTAAGTAATGTTGTAGAAAAGAGAAGAGAAGAGGAAGAAGAAAAGCCCAAATCCAAAATTGAAAACAAGTACTACAATCTCCAAAGCATCAATATTTTATCACTCCTCTTTTCTTCCACGCAAACCCAATTCTCTTCTTCTTCTTCTTCTTCTTCTTCTTCTTCTTCTTCCTTTTCTTTTCTTCCCTAAATCGTTCGTTAATCTATAGTCGATCAAATTCGCTCTTCTCTTTTCAACTTCTTCATCGAATTTTCACTGCCCTAGCCTCGGAATTTGATTCGTCCTTCTTTAAAGCTTCGGCTTTTAAGACAATTAAATCTTGCTAGCTGCTTGTAGACCTTCTTCGCTTTCACGGCTTTCTAATTGCTGTTCCTTTCGTGGGTCGCTGGTAAGTTTTGATCTTTTTCATTTGTTGTTATCGATAAAGTTTCGATTTTTTTTTGAATAATCGCACTGTTAGCTTAAGGGTTTTTGAGGTTTCAATTTAGAATCGGATTGCTCCTGATCAAATCCCTGTTGTAAGTAGAGAAAGCCTTATTCTATTGGGAAGGAATTCGCCTTTTCTGCTTCGTCTTCTTGTGAATAAAGAGTTGGTTTTAAGGAATTGACTTTGATCAAGGTATATTTGTTGTGTGCAAAGGTTGCGTGAACCTTGTTTCAGCCTCTTGATTGAGTATAGATTACTATTATCTACGCTGTGTTTTAGTGCTTTCTCATATTGCAATGTTTCATTCCTTTTTTTGGAGAGAACGGAGCCGTGTTCGCTTTCTCTGCACCATCAATTGTCATCAGAATGCTAGGCGTTTAGTGCATTGTCCATAGATTCTGCTAGTGCGATGGTGGGTCTAGTTTATATCCATCATGGTGGAAAACTGTTATAGAAACATGTCTTTAGCAGGTTATGCCACGACTTCCAGATCCTTGGTTTGTCTTTCTGCTTTAAGGATTTGATTTGCCTTTGTGTCTCATCGGTTATTATTTTCATTGTATGTGCTTCTAGCTTGAACATTTTGGTGGCACTTTTTTGTTTGCATGCATAAATTATCTGTCATTAGTGGTTTTCATTGTGGATGCTTTATGATATTCATGTTTGATGCAGGATTTGTAGCTGCATTCTCATTGGGCACTACACGTTCTTCAAATTTCCACGAGGTAAGCAGGGAATGGACCGGCTGTTTTGGCCAATCGTCCGTGTTTACAAATGATGAGCAGTGGGCATAAGGGTCCAAATGTACGTAACTTTTTTAAATGGCAACGTGGTGAATCATCATCATCTTTGACTACTGGATTGCTTCATAATGAGTCACACGAGATTGAGCTATCTAACTACGGAGGAATACCAAGTCCTGGTAGTGAGAGCCCATCGGGACTTCTTAATGGAGAGAGTTTAAATGTTCAACCAATTGCTGATTTGGATCTTTTTGTTGAAAGGCTCTACAGCTACTATAGAGACAAAGGCCTTTGGTGTATTATCGTAAAGTGGGCTGTTGAGCTTCTTAGTCTGGGCTTCATCATATGCTTCTCTGGGTTTTTCTTGCTGTATGTTGATTGGAATGGTCTTCAGAATGCAAAATGTGGAATGGATGCAGTTGAATCAGGAACTAAGCCATGTGATCTTGTAAAAGAAGCTATCCATCCGCATCCTTTATCTCCTTTCACGCTTACAACTGCTATAATTGTTGGATATTTGGCCCTCTTCTCTGTGTACTGGCTCTTCTGCTTCTTAAGGTTTTTTGCCCAACTGAAAGATACTTTGGACTTTCGGCACTTTTATTACAACAAGTAAGTTGGAAGTTGTAACATGCTATAAATAGTTATTGCTAGAACAAAACATGCAATTTAGGCCATAATTGATTTTCCTTTTTGTTGTAAATTTGCAGTCTCCATGTCACAGACAATGAAATCCTTACTATGCCATGGGCAACAGTCCTTGAGAAGGTTGTTCAGTTACAAAGCTCACAATGTCTTTGTGTGGTTAAGGATCTTTCTGCTCATGATATGGTTATGCGCCTTATGCGGAAAGAAAACTACTTGATTGGAATGCTCAACAAAGGTTTGCTTTCTTTCCCAATCTCTCATTGGATCCCTGGTGCTGGTCCAGCAGTCAAATCTGCACCAGATGGGACACAGTATCACCTTGTATTGACAAAGACCCTTGAGTGGACCCTTAACTGGTGCATATTGCAGAGCATGTTTGACTGGTATGCTATTATTCTCCACGCTAATCTTTGATCTAATCTGAAAACTGCTTTCTAGTAACATTGTAGCTATAGGATATTATGAACTGCTATAGTGATAAATTGAGAGTTTGTTTTATATGTAATGCAGATAAAAGTTTCAATTTTCATGATTTGTTTTTTTCTTGGTCCGACTATAGTGATCTTTTCAAGTTAATGAGATTGTCGTGTTAGATTTTTTGTCCCTGTATATATATTACGTCAGTGAAAAATTGCGTACGTTAATAAGATTGTCCTGTTAGATCCTATATGGGTGTGGCCGAAGTGCGTGTATGTTATATTTCATATTCGTATTTAACTACTACCATGAAGAGTAAGGCCATAGAATGAAAAATTCCTTGCACATGCTAAGTACTGTCCGTTTTCTCTAATTCAGGCGTTTCATTCTGCAGCAATTTTCGTGTTAGAAGGGACTTTGTTTCAAATCCTACAACATTGAAGAAACGACTATTTGTGGTTGGGCTTGCTATGCTTCTGCTGTCACCGTTTCTTGTCATCTTTATGTTGGTGTATTTATTCCTAAGGCATGCTGAACAGTTCTACAATCATCCAAGTACTGCATCTTCTCGAAGATGGTCCAATTTGTCAAAGTGGCTCTTCAGGGAATTCAATGAGGTAGTTGCCTTCATCTGGCGTCCATGCCCACAAAAGTCATGTGAATGGAATTTAATTCTGGTTTTTAGTAAACCTTTGAAATTTTCTGACTTCTCCTTTCAAAATATATGTGATGTCTTTCCTAAACTTCTTGTTTCTACAACAGGTTGACCATTTATTCAAGCATCGGATTAATAGCAGTGTAGTACACGCATCCGAATATCTAAAGCAATTCCCCTCGCCGATCATCTCCATTATTGCAAAGTTTGTCTCGTTTGTTTCTGGCGGCTTTGCTGCTGTCTTAATCATCATTGCGTTTCTCGAAGAATCTCTACTAGAGGGCCATGTAAGAAATACTAACAACGTAAACAGCATTTGATAGATACATTTTTCGGTATTAAAGTTTCTTTTACCACCTGTGTAGATATTCGGCCGCAATCTGTTTTGGTATGCTGCTGTTTTTGGAACAATTACAGCTATTAGCAGGGCTGCCATTTCCGATGAACTTTTGGTCCTCGACCCAGTAGGAACTATGTCTTTGGTGGTCCAACACACTCATTATATGCCTAAGAGATGGCGTGGTAAGGAAAACAAGGATGATGTCCGCTTGGAGTTAGAGACTCTGTTTCAGGTACCATGTTAACTTTTTAAACTCCTTTTTCACAAACTGGTTTAGTTTAAGCTAAACATCAACATTTAGTCACTGCCATCTTTAAGTAAATTTTCTGAATGTTTTCTATTTGACACTGTCAAGATAACTGCATACAGTCTTATTTTCCATATTACGATGAAGAGGGAATGCCAAATTTATGCTTACACCTATTTTTACTTACTTAGCTTCATAATGTAATGAGGTTAAGCAGCAAGATGAGCTACTTACAGGGTACAATAGGATGTTCTACTAACTTTTTGGGTTCTTTTTATGATTCTATATTCCTCTAAACGTTATCTTATTTCCCTACTTGGTCTCTACTACTTTCTGTATGAATTCATATAAATTATGCTAATGAAAATTTATACACTGCAGTATACTGGAATGATGCTATTGGAGGAGATAGCTTCGATCTTCATCACACCATTTTTGCTGATGTTTGTAGTGCCAAAGGTATATTTCTCTCGCATTCCCTTTAGTGTACCCCACATCAATATTTAGAATATACAATGATTGTGGTCTCACACATTTTGAGTTCACTTTCCAGCGGGTGGATGACATCTTGCAATTCATCAAGGATTTCACAGTTGATATTGAAGGTGTAGGCCATGTTTGCAGGTAAACAACTCTTCTAGTCATGTACTTCCCATAAAGAAATTTACAATAAGGATTACATTATGATCATTGGCTGTTTCGCTTGCAGCTTTAGTGCCTTCTACTTTGAGAATCATGGAAATATCCAATATGGTTCACCACATAATGCAACTCGTCGTGAGCAGAGAAGCTCACAAGGGAAAATGGAGAAATCATTCTTGAGGTTTGAGGCATTTAATTTTCTTTTTTTCTCTGCTACATATGAATTCTCTTGGAATATATGCAAATCAGTGTTAAGTGTTTCATTTTATTTGCAGTTTCCAGAGTAGTTATCCTTCTTGGGAGTCAGATTCTCTTGGGAAGCAGTTTCTGTCAAATCTCAGAACTTTCAGGGACCGAAAGCTTCATGAAATCAACACAAGACACTCATGTTCTCCTAGTAGGGCGTGGCGAGAAAGCACTACCACCGCTGTATACAGAGACATTCCAGGAAATCCGCTTGCGAGCGGCAATCACACCGATTCCATGTGGCTTATTGATCCAGATCAGAGGAATCATCCTTATCTTCTTGACTGGTATTACACTTCACAGGCTCACAACAGAACTGATCACCCGACAGAGAGAGCGAACGAAATCTTAAGTGCAAATCAGAACGCTACAGATTGTTGGCCTCCTGATTTGGGAATCCGTGGTGAAGATAGCAGAGATCTGCTCAACATGGAGGCAAGCACATCAGGTCAGTTCTTCAGAGAGAGCATTCTGCGCCATGAGCAACCGGAGGGAGAGGAAAGTTATGGGAATCAGCATCCTCTTGATGGTAGGAGCCAGTGGTGGGGAAGAGGCAACCACTCTCACATCGGCACATCTCATCCCACAAACACCAATAGCTTCATTGAGCCACCTGATTTTATAAACCGCTACACAGCAGGAAACTTATTAGACAACTCATGGAGCAGAAGAAGCATTGAAGAAGAAGATGAAGAACTGGATTGGGAAGAGAACTCAAGAAGAAAGTTGTCGAGAACCACATTCATGGACGATAACGATATTGAAGCTGGGATTGATCTCCATTTCGACGATGTATATAGTTCAAGACCTCAAGAAACTTCAACATCAAGCACCACATTACGGTGAACAACAATGAATTTTTTTGATTCAAAGTTGTTTCTTTGTTTTGTCTTTTTATGGTGGATGGAGAAGGAAGATAAAAGAGATGCTTTGTAGAAAAGTGTTCTCTGGATTTGGAAAAAAATGTGGGAATAGTAACATGTTTCTCTTTTTTTTTTCTTTTTCTTTTTTCTTGGTTATGTTTCAAGCTAACATTACATGCAATTCTTTATTGTTGTGTATATAAATTAGGTCCTTAAAAATGGTATTTTTTTAATTTATATATACATTTTTGGAATACATTTAGCAAATAAATCTTGGCTTTCACTACTATTTACAATGGAATGCCACTGAAGTTAATTCTTAAGATTTGCAAAATTAAATGAAAGATATTAATAAACGATTTTCGATCCTAAAATTTTGCTAAGTCTGATGTTTCCTTTTTTTTTATTAACGATTTTAAACTACGTTCCTATAATCTCATATTTTTGGTTATGATTTTAAGGAATCTAATTAGTTTTTTTTTTTGACGTCTAGATTTATTATTTATTGCAAATTATGAGAACTGTTACATAGACGATTCTACAACGGACAATTCCTTCTGACCCTTATTAGATCCACGACAGACGACACTTCCTTCTCCATGCTCTTGACGGACACCTTCAATGATCCACGACCTGACGACACTTCTCTCTCTGCGTGGAATCCTGGCGAACGGCTATAATTGTACTTCGCTGGAGCTCTCCTGCACACTTGCCTCCTTTAATTTGCAAATTTATTAATAAATCGCAATATGTGGAACTCGAACCCCAGACCTCTTGGTGTAGAAGCATTAATTAACCCTTGGTCAACCAATGGACCAAGGGGGCTTCCACGGAATCTAATTAGTTTAAGAAATTTCTATTAAAAAAATCTAAATAGTATACTACATTTCCGTTTTAGTACTGATTTAATAGTATATACATATATAATAAATATAAAAAAATCTAAATAGTATCCTACATTTCTGTTTTAGTACCGATTTAATAGTATACACATATATACATATATAATAAATACTATTCAAATGTAAATATAATTATTGTAATTTTTTTAATGTTCATATATTAATGAATTAATGAAATTCGGCTTTAACACCAACAAATCTTTTGTTGGAAAGATTTTTTCAGATTCTCTAATTTGTTTTCATTTAGAAAAATAATAAATTTACAAATAATCCTTATTTACAAATTAAAATCCAAAATATCTAGCAAATAGAAACTAATTATACTCTCAATTGTTTATAGGTAATATTTTCAATATACTAGGAGTTATATCTATATATAAAGATAACAAATACAATTATCTATTTAAGCTAACATAATTCAACGAATCTTTAAATAATTTTTATTTACAACATAAAATCGAATTTATTAAATAGATAACATAATTCAACGAATCTTTAAATAATTCTTATTTACAACATAAAATCGAATTTATTACTGTTTTGAGTCATTGTTTTTTATTTTACGTTTATGTTTGATGCTTAAAATGATCCGGTTTATATATGTTCATAATAAGTGAACAAGATGAATAAAAACAAATGTAGAGAAGGCTTAGTTTTTTTTCTTTGTTATATTTCTGTTTGTTTATTAATTCGCACTAATTGTATTTGATTAATTTTGTTTGGTCGTAACTATAATTCATAATCTACACTAAACTTAGATTTTAGTTGGTTTTGATTATAAGTATAGTAAGCAACATCTGTATATTATTACTTTATTATAATAAAACATTACAAAAATATTTTTTTTTAAGCAAACTTATAAATTGGCTCGAATTGTATGTACTTTTTAAAATAAAAATATTATCAAAAAGTAATATAACAAAATGATGTTCAATTTCACGGGACGGGGTTATATGGTGGGACGGATTTTGGTCGATATTAATATGGAACGGTATACAACGGGTGAAATCTTAGAATTAACAATCAAATACAATTATATAATCTTAAACACTAAATAAAACAAATAAAATCAACAAAACAAATATAATTTAAATTTTAAAAATTGTAGTTATAGAAAATCGACCCGAGGTTTACCGCGGCGTAATATAATAATATTAATATATAAATACATTTAATCAAACAAAACAATAGGTTATATCTATAGATAATCTTAAAAAAAAAAATTCAAATTTTTGTTTAAAATATATATAGTTTCGCGGTGTACCGCATGTTAAAATCTAGTAGTGTTTACATTTTACTTCTAACTTTTTTGTTTGTACATTTCAGGGAATACCATTTACATTCATTTCACAAAAGTCTCAATTTGTTTTTTTTTTTCTGTCGATTTGGGTTTGTTTTGGTTTGACCCATTCTTAAAATCCAGCTTGACCCGACCCGGATTAACCTTTGTGTGTTTTTGTTTTTTTTTGTTTAACAATCTCGAGCAGCTGATGAAAACAGAGAAGAATCATAAAAACAGAGAGAAATGTTATTGTGAATCTCTCTATCTCGTACAAGCAATCCCTCGTTGTCTGTCTCTGCACGAGATTGCTTGTAAACACAAAGCTATGGCGGTTTCTAATGCCTTTGTTGTTGTTAGCCCGATGCTGAAGACATCGTCGTCGTCGTCATCGAATCACCATAATCCGTCTTCTTCTTCTCCGGACCTGATTAGGATTCATACTCTTTCGATGAACAATAGGACAAGAAGAGGTCTGATCCAGAGAGCGCGTTGCGAGCTATCTCCGTCCAGCGACTCATCGGCTCTGAACCAGCTTAAGAATTCTCCTACAAATGACAGTAATAAAAAGTTTCTGCCTTGTTTTTCTTAATTTTGGAATTTGTTTTTGATTTCATTTCAGATTCGTGATTGGTTTTCGTTAATTCAAAAAGGATGTTTCACGTTCTAATCATGGGAGATTGTTTCCTTGTTAAAGTTTATAGCTTTGTTGAATTGTGGGTACCTGCAGGATACACAAGGGAGAGAAGCAGCATTGTGGTGATTGGGCTTAGCTATCACACAGCTACTCTAGAGATGCGTGAGAAGCTTGCCATTCCAGAAGCTGAATGGCCACGAGCTATTACTCAGTTGTGCGCTTTGAATCACATTGAAGAAGCTGCTGTTCTCAGTACCTGCTACCGTATCGAGATTTATGTTTCCGCTCTTTCTCTCCACCGTGGTGTCAAAGAAGTCACTGACTGGATGTCTAAGGTTTTCTTCTTCTCCTTGAGTGTTTTGGGCACCTCTGTTACAATAAGTGGCATACATGACAATGTTATTTCTTTGCTAGAGAAGTGGAATTCCAGTTTCGGACATCTGTCAGCACCGGTTTCTGTTGTACAACAAAGACGCCACACAACATCTATTTCAAGTCTCCGCTGGTCTGGACTCTCTTGTCCTAGGAGAAAATCAGATACAATCACAGGTTAAACAAGTTGAGAAAGTAGTTAAACAACAAGGGTTTGGGAGGATTATCAGTGCGCTATTTGAAAAGGCAATCAAGGCTGGAAAGCGTGTCAGAGAAGAGACAAATATCGCGTCTGGGGCTGTTTCCGTTAGCTCTGCTGCCGTCGAACTTGCTCTCACTAAGCTTCCAGGATCTGTATCATCTGCTATGATGTTGGTAATTGGTGCAGGAACGATGGGGAAGCTTGTAATCAAGCACCTGGTTGCTAAAGGTTGCACTAAAATTGTGGTTATGAACCGAAGCCAAGAGAAAGTTGCAGCTATCCGCGAGAAGATGCCGCCTGGCGTTAAGATTATCTATAGACCCTTAGATGAGATGCTAGCTTGTGCTTCAGAAGCCAACGTAATCTTTACTAGCACAGCATCTGAGACACCATTGTTCTTGAAGGAGCACGTAGAGATCCTCCCTCCTTGTCCTGCAGATGTAGATGCGAGGCTCTTTGTTGATATCTCTGTTCCTAGAAATGTTGGCTCTTGTGTAGCTGAATTAGACAGTGCACGGGTTTACAACGTGGATGACCTCAAAGAAGTTGTTGCTGCCAATATGGAAGACAGGGCGAGGAAAGCAATGGAAGCTCGGGATATAATAACAGAAGAGTCAATAAAGTTTGAAGGGTGGAGGGATTCGATGACGTTTCCAACAATCAAGAAATTAAGAAGCAAAACAGAGAAAATCAGAGCTGCTGCTGTTGAAAGATTCATGTCGAAACATGGCAAAGACATGGACAAGAAGACGAGGGAAGCAGTAGAGAATGTAACCCTAGAGATAGTAAACAGGATCCTGCACGACCCAATGAAACATTTGAGATGCGATGGGACTGATAGCAGAATGCTGCATGAGACTCTAGAGAACATGCAGGCTGTGAACAGAATGTATGAACTCGACGGAGAGTTACTCGAGGAGAAGATTAGAGCAAAAAAGAGGGAACAAAAGTAGAGAGAGAGAGAGAGAGAGCATTTGTTGCATCCATTTTTAAGGTACGTAGAGGTCAAACGAGCACGCCTTTGTAATAAACGAACTTGAGTAGAGAGTGAAGATGTTTTGACATAGAGACAGACGCATACTCTCTTTTCTCAACACCAACCAAAGTCTTGTTTGACCGATTTGAATAGAGCAGCTATTACTGGTTCTAGCCTTCCTAGGAGACGAAGATAGCCACCACACAATCTTTTAATCTGTTTTTCTCTGTGAAGCTATTGCTATTGCCTATTGTACTCACGTTTAGTTTAGATTACTTAAACTAATGATGACCAAAAAAAAAAACCTTGTGTTTTGACATTATGGTCTTGTTTTTTTTTTTAGTTTTAGTGAAACGTTGGAAAAAAAAAAAAAATCTTCTTAGGGTTTTTGTTTCCTTTAGGGTTTTTGTTTTTTGCTAACGAGAGGATTTTCTCGACGCGAGCTCCGGCCATGAAAAGCCTTTCGATTTCTCTAATCCGTCGGCTTCATTTCCATAAATTCAGACCAATTCCACTTCCAATCCACCTGAATACTGCTTCTTCTTTTTCTTCTTCATCCTCTTCTCTGGTCTCGCCAACACGCGAAGTCTCCACTTGCTGCAGAAGAACCAATGGCATGATCAAGAGTCAGTTCTGGGTCAATCCATATCGGAATTTTAATACCCATGTCGAGGAACCTCCAGAGCTTTCGTCAAGTGATAAGGAAAAAATCGATCTCGAAGAAGCGTTTGAGTCGGCGAATACCACTGATGAAATGGTCCGTTTGTTCAAGGAGATGGAATTGACTTTCGAAGGGAACGAATTAGGTTTATCTGCTTTGAAATTAGGTCTCCATCTCGATCGTGAAGGTGATGATCCTGAAAAGGTTTTGTCTTACGCTGATAAAGCTCTTAAATCTTTCGATGGAGATGGCAATAAACCTAATCTTCTTGTTGCCATGGCGTTGCAATTAATGGGTTCTGCTAATTACGGTTTAAAACGTTTTAGTGATAGTTTAGGTTACTTGAACAGAGCTAATCGGATTCTAGTTAAGTTAGAGGCAGATGGTGATTGTGTTGTGGAAGACGTTAGGCCGGTTTTACACGCCGTGCAACTCGAGCTTGCTAATGTTAAGAATGCTATGGGGAGGCGAGAGGAAGCGATTGAGAATTTGAAGAAGAGTTTGGAGATTAAGGAGATGACTTTTGATGAAGATAGTAAAGAGATGGGTGTGGCGAATCGGAGTCTTGCTGATGCTTATGTTGCGGTTTTGAATTTTGATGAGGCTTTGCCTTATGCGTTGAAGGCTTTAGAGATACATAAGAAAGAATTGGGGAATAATTCAGCTGAGGTTGCGCAGGATCGAAGACTTCTCGGTGTGATCTATAGTGGTTTAGAGCAACATGACAAGGCGTTGGAGCAGAACCGATTGTCTCAGAGGGTTTTAAAGAATTGGGGCATGAAATTGGAGCTGATTCGTGCGGAGATCGATGCTGCAAACATGAAGGTTGCTTTGGGTAAATACGAGGAAGCGATTGATATATTGAAGAGCGTTGTTCAACAAACCGAGAAGGACAGTGAGATGAGAGCTATGGTGTTTATATCAATGTCGAAAGCTTTGGTAAACCAACAGAAGTTTGCTGATTCGAAGAAATGTTTGGAGTTTGCTTGTGAAATTCTTGAGAAGAAAGAAACAGCTTCACCTGTAGAAGTCGCTGAAGCATACTCTGAGGTAGCAATGCAGTACGAGTCAATGAACGAATTTGAAACCGCTATTTCGTTGTTGCAAAAAACTTTGAGTATACTAGAGAAGCTTCCTCAAGAACAGCACTCAGAAGGAAGCGTTTCTGCTAGGATAGGTTGGTTGCTTCTGTTCTCGGGTCGAGTCTCTCAAGCGGTTCCTTACTTGGAAAGTGCAGCCGAGAGGTTAAAAGAAAGTTTTGGTGCTAAACATTTTGGAGTTGGATATGTATATAACAATCTCGGTGCTGCTTATTTAGAGCTCGGAAGACCTCAATCCGCTGCTCAAATGTTTGCAGTTGCTAAAGACATTATGGATGTTTCACTCGGTCCAAACCATGTGGATTCAATCGACGCTTGTCAGAATCTTTCTAAAGCTTACGCTGGAATGGGAAAGTAAGTAAATTTCCGTTAGCACAATTCACTCTTTGATGTGGATGATTACTTGCAGTCTAAAAGGGTTTAATGTCCTGCTCATTGCTTGCTTGCAGTTATAGCCTTGCAGTGGAATTTCAACAGCGAGTGATCGATGCTTGGGATAATCATGGAGATAGCGCAAAAGACGAAATGAAAGAAGCAAAAAGACTTCTTGAGGATTTGCGATTGAAGGCTCGAGGAGGCGTATCAACAAATAAGCTTCTGAATAAGGCTTTACCTTTGCCCAAGACAAGCCATTGATAGTGGGCTTTGTGAAGTCTCAGCACCAAAGAACAAACAATGAAAAAAATGGTGAGATTTAATTAGCACCTTCTGGTTTTTTTCATATGATCATCGTATACTAAACTTTTGTTTTGCCACTGAATAATTAAGTTATTCTCGAAATAATGTGTTTAGCTACTTCGATCATTAAATTAGAATTCTTTTAGATTTCACTCTTTCACAAAGATTGATGTTTTAGGTGTTGTTTTTGATTGATGGATGGTTGATTTTTATACAAGTCTACATGATGTTTTCCCACATACCCATATATGATAATGGTGTAATTTTAAAGAATGAAAATATAGTTAGTCATTTGAATGTCTTATTAATCTTTGATTTTTTTTTTCATTCTTTGTGAAGATTTCATTATTGGATTCTTTTGTTTTCTTTTTGGAGTAAACGCTTTAAATTGCAAGTTCCATTCTCTAAAATGATTGATTAGTTAGGATTTCGATTCAGGATTTATTTGGGCCACCAAAAAAGTGTAAAAATTATGAAGTTATTTGGTGGTATTTTGCTTGTACAATTATTTACTGTATTTCATTTTGGTCTCCTCGGGTCCAAGTCCAACACAATGCTTGATGCACTAAATGGGTCTAAGTCCAAAAAGGTGTGATATTTTGTAAGTCCCAAGTTTTGTCCACATAATTAATATTCATACAGGTCCAAACCAGTAAACCAATTCTGAACAAAACTAGAGTCAAGTCAAGTCAACTTGAGGCATACTTGGCCAAACCACAAAAGCCTATATTTTTCGAGGTATAACCTTTTTGACCCTAGCTAAGCTCCGTGCTTTAGCTTTAACTGAAGTGCCTAATCATATTATGACCTACTTGCAAGTTGATCGAAAAAAATTCATCACTACTAACTAATCTGACCAAAGAAAAAAAATATTCATCACTACTACAAAACTGAAGTAGATTTTGAATCGAGATCTAGACTAATCCCTGAAACTGTGAAAACTGAAACGTATAGAAAGTGAGGTATTTTTGTTACTTAAAAAAATAGTATTTTCTAAAGACTAAGTGATCAAAATACACAAGACAAAATTTCTGCTACTTGAACAGACCATTGATCACACGTTAACGAACTTTGATATCTTTAGGTTTTAAAATTGAATATACAAAGAAATTTGTGGCCGCCGGCGTTAAACGATGAAAATAGAAATAATTGAAAGAAGAGACTTCTGATTCGGATACAGTTGCTTACGGAACACTCTCGCCGCCGCCTCTCATATGCATGTATCATTTATATTTTTATTTATTTTATTGTATGATACATTTTTAATGAATACTTTACAGTTTTTATATTGCATCTTGAGAATTCTTTTAAAACAAACAAACAAAGATTCTCTCATTTGCTCATGTGTCCGATGATTGATGACTAAGCCATGACAAAACTAATAGACACGTGCTTTAAATCAAGATGCATGCACTTTGATGATCACTTTCTCTTACTTTCAACGGGTAAACGCCTTGAATTAAAGAAGTTTCTAGATCTTTCCGAGACCAAGTAAAAGCAGATTGATTTTTTTAAAACATATTAAAATATATACACTTGTGTATTAAAAATAATAGTATATTATATTGAGTAGAAAATACTATTGCTTTGCCATTATGTTATAAATCAATGGGGTAAAAATGTATCATGTTAAACTTATTAAGTTAGAGAATAAAAATGCAACACTCTCTCTTATACTCTCTCCGTTTGTTTTGGATAAAATATTTTTGTTTCAAAATATAAGATGTTTTTAAATTTATAGGTAAATTATATTTTAGTTTAATATTTTATGATTGTACTATTTTCATAATTGGTTAAACTTTGTAAAAATAAATATTTCTTAATCTACGTACTTTTAGATAAAATATTTTATATTTTAAAACGGAATGAGTATATCAGAATCTTATATCAGAATCTTTTGATATTTTTATTAATCGAGGTTTTGACAAAAAAATATATATAACTGAATACTGTAATATACATCCATGAAACGAATCCCACATTTTCATAAATTAGTGAACTCACAAGGTTAAATCGTCAACCACGCGTGAACCGTTTACATGATCTTTAACCTTATTTAATTAATGTTTCTGTTGAATTTTTCTAACACTAACCAGAAAATAAATCACAAGAGCATGGTCAATCTATGGGTTCCCAACCCAAACTTGTACTGACACATTTAAGAGTATGTATTGATATTGTACTTGGATAGATCATAGATATTATAGTGCGAATTTGTTTTGAACTATTTTTATTACAATAGTCAACAATGTTTAAATCAATTCACGTAATTTTGAATTCTAATTTGACCAGTATATATCTTTTAGGATTAGAGACATATTAAAAAACGTTTTTTCACGTGTCTTCTTGTTTGGTTAAATTTGAAGCTGAATCTGGCAGCAGTGTAACAACACTCCTCCAATTGGTTGAGCTACGAAAGCTTGATTACAAAACTTTTAATTTTAATTTTGATAAAAAGAAAAAGTTGAGACAAACCAGATTTTGGATCCATAATTTTGATCCATTTTTCTTTGCCACATTTGGATAACTTGAGATATGATTTGGAAACGTGATATACATATATGTTATATATTATTAATTGTATTCTCATTTCTCAACCAAGTTATAAAAGAGAAGAAGAATTACATGCAGGTCATATATTCAAACCGCCTAGTTGAATACTACTTGCCTAACTCATGAAGGGTGTCACCGCCTCACCGGCCGGTCTAACAATTAGAAGAACTTACCATCTAGATGGTCGTATATTACCCAAGTATAAAATAAAAGCTATTCGAATTAGGCCTCGTGGGGATTGCTTTCTCTTAAGTTGAAATTCGTGAAAGGTTAGAAAAGTGATTACTAAGTAAACGTCATTATTTAGTCGACTATAAAATTGCATGTTTCACCATTGTTTAATCTATTCATAATTTAGTATGTCTCCTTCTATTTGAAAGTGGGAATTATTAACCAGAAGAAAAAATGAAGTTGCAATTATTTGTAACATCGATGCATGCATGTACCATAATGAGATGGTCAGTTTCAATAAGCCAATCAGATAATCTATATTATAAGAAAATATAATCTCTCAAGTTTTGTATACGAACAGTATAGTATCAAAATCAAAATCTTTAGTTGAAAGATTAAATGTTTTGTATTATGCATATTCAAATTTTAACTCTATTATAGATGTCTTCAATTAGAAAAGACGAGCCAAATCAGGACTAATGTTTTTCTGTTCTGTTTTGCAAGATATTGTAATACAAAACTATATAAAAATTCATCAAATATTTATCGACTTCCAAAACTATACATTACAAATTTCTCAAATTTCTTATAAAATATATTACAATTACAAATTCATTAGATCTATTAAATATTTTAAATACAATATCTCACATCGTTTGATATCATATAAACATTTCACCAATAATAACAATCGTGACTACTGCTCAGGATCTTGTGCCTCCAATACGACTATCAGATTCTAGTCAAAGCTATTAATTCGAAGAAGCAACTTTTGGAAGTTTTTGGAATTTGGAGGATGTGTTTATTAGTATCCTCCGATTCAATCGTTTTCAGTGTTGTTACATTTCAAGGGCAGCCAATGTTGAGGCTGACTCTTTGCAAAATCTTTTTTTTCTCTGTTTGTTTCAAACTTTTGAAGTAATTTAAAGTTCCGTTGATTAAAAAAAAAAAATGAAAATCATATTTCTATTCTAGATTTTAAATATAAGACAAACACCATTCTTAAGCATTTACAATCTGTAAACTAATTGGATTACTGGTGGGAAAATAAAAATAAATTATTAAACATGGGACCATGCTAGTTGTTTCCAAAATATATTAACAATAAATAACCTATATAACCTATCAATCTATGAAAAGTAATACTGTACCGTTCAAAATAACAAATCTTTCTTACCTTTAATTAGCAAGTTGATCAGTTATTATTGATTCCACCAGGAATTGAATATTACTAACTGTTAAGTGCACTAATTAGAAATGAATCTACTAAGTTTTATCATAGTTATCCTTAATTTAGTGGGGACATCAAATCGCATGCATGTTTGATGTAACTTTCTGTTAATAAAAAATTATTGGCCTCCGCTAAGCAAGCTAGGTATCAAGTGACATTAGAATAAAAACTACAGAGTGTTCATGTACCGTCTCTCTTATTAGTTAGTGGTATTGTTTTAATTTCAAGTTGTCATATTACTAAATTACATCTCCAATGGTCCACCATCAATAACACTCGCTTCAATTTAAAACAATTTTATTCAATCTTATAACATGCTATAGACTTTGTTTTGCTTCTGTGGTGAGACACAATAAACGACGAATGGGGAATTGAATATGAAGAAAGACATGGAACGAGACTAGTGATTCTAGAAACTCTCTTTAGAGTTCTAATTGACCTCTTAGGAGAAATGAAAAAAAAAACCAGATAAATTGTTTGGGACAAAAACGAAACTGAATTCATTATGAGTTTAGAGTATTCATAGCCATATGTTAAAGGGTACCGCATTTAACATCAGTCACAGCTAGTTGCGAAACAAATTTTGTTCCCCC